CTAGATGATCTTTAAGGTCCCTTCCAAGCCAAACCGTTCTATGACTCTATGAGAAGAAAACAAAACCCACCCCAAACTGAAGGCTGTACTGCTGTGGCTAAATACTGAAGTCCTAGGGATGAATGGACTGAAGTACTTGAGGAAACATGTGCTCCTGAAGGCAAGAGGATGAATCCTGAAGTCGTAGCAAGACAGGCAGTGGGTGCTCAGGAGAGGCTTCATGAAAATCAGGTCATTGGCTTCCCTGGAGATCCCTACATCTTGCCTGACAAATCCCCTTTGTTTTAAGGCTCCTGTTTAGCTGTATATTTTGACATAATAATTACTCGTTTATACAATTCCTTCCTTTCAGGGGATTCCAGAAGCGCCTCTCACATGATGTGTGGGGGTCTATCGCTGCAGTGTCGTGACTGCATCTGTTTAAAAGCATTGAATGATACTCCTGATGCGCAGTGGGAGATAAGGAATCATCGCATCTGCCTCCTGCAGCACACATCATTTTCTTCCTTGTTGCCAGAACCTGACTACTCTGACTTATCCAGACTGCCTCAAAAACATGAAGAATGTCACCTTCCAGGCACAGCAGAGTTGTCTGCCTTGAACGTATGACTTATGTTTGGGTAAACCAGAGACAGAGAAACAGCTGCCAAGAAGCTAACGACCACCACCACCACCACTGTCCCCTTCTGTTCCATCTGCTGGTGTGCCTCTGTGACCCATCTTTCTCAAGCAGCGTGCACCAGCCTGTGTATTCAAAATGCAACAGAAATGCAAACTATACCCTTTCCATGTCAGAACCCTCCACTGAACACACGCTTTTGCCTTCAGGGAGAGGACAAGAGAATGAATCATATATGACAGATGTCAGTCACATCACTGAATGCCTCACTGGAACACACTGGGATACTGTGATGTGGGCAATGTAAGAGGCAGAACAGAATAAACCTGGAAGACGAATTGAGACAGAAAGATCAAATCTAGCCAAGCTGGAATGTCACTGGATCACTGAAGTGCAGAGCCTCTGCACTATAAAATGGTCCTGGGGATATATAGTAATTGTGGACGTTTTCTCTGTTAGCTGACTGAAGTCAGGGAGTAATTGAAGGTTTTAATTGAAATGAATGCACACTGGGATAGTATTTTAAGAAAAACTCAAAAGGACCAGAAGAAGACAAAGGACCCCTACCCTGACTCTGTAAATTGGCACCAATGCCATCGAGGTGTTGCTTCTTTCTTCTCTGTTTCTGCCTTCTCAAATCCATTTCTAAGACTGGTGGTGGTTTCATGCTTCCCCTTCAGAGACACTGAGAGAAGCCCCTTAATGCAGTTTAGGGACTTACCTGTTGGAGATTTTCTCAGAGCCCACATATAGGGCACTCCTCATGAGTCCAGCCCGAGTGCCCAGAAATGCCATCTCAACACCTGTCCCAGTCTCCCTGTGGAACAGAAACACACAAGCAGAAGCAAACAGTTCTCAAAAGAACAACCATCTCCCTGTCCCAGGAGGAGGGCCTTTCAAATTAGAAACCACACCTGGAGGTCTAGTCTCAAGTTCATTTGCAATACAACCTATTCACACCAGGGGTGACACTGGCTCCTCCCTGCTGATAGCAACAGGTTGTTACTGGCTAACAATTGGCAGGCTTAGACTTGTATCTAGAGTCACGTCTTTGAAGTTTGTTCATTTTATTCTCTTCTGAATAGACGGTAAGCTAGCCCTCCTGCTAGCCCTGCTCCAGGCTGCCCACATGAGGCTGAAGTGAGGGAGAGGAACTGCAGAGAGAGAATGGCTGTATCACGGGTACAGAGAATGGTCAGGGTAGCAGAATGACTCTGAAGGGGGTGTCCTGGTCCAGCTGTTTAAAGATGTGCTGATTAATTTGGTGTCCTAGCATGATTGCCACTGGCTCAGCATCTGGTAGTGGTAGAGATTCTGGTAACTGAAATGGGACAGGAATCCCAGGACCACATGTCTAAGTAGTATGTTGTCTGCTGAAAGAAGATCTGTGTGACATGATACTAGATACTACAAGCAATAGGTGCCTCACTGGAAGCAGAGTAGAAAGTTGTTCACTGAAGCCAGCCTATCCACTCCCTAAAGCTCAATCTGAAAGCATCACCAAAAGAGACAAGATCAAACTCTTTTTCCTTTACTGCTGGTAAGGGGAAAAATTACTTGCCACCTGAGATGGAACTTCTGCTACAGTCATATAATGAGTTAAGCCAAACCACACTGCTGCCATTCAAAGGGATGTCTGATGCAGGGGGAGATAATTCAAAACAATTTTAAACTGAAATGGCCTCAGGTGTCCAGGGATACCAAACTCTTTCAACTAATGAGGCAAATGCAGTGCATCTGAGTTAGGTGCTGCAAAGAACTAGTGAGGAACACTCCTTGCAGTGACACCTGGGATCACTGCTGTCCTCCAGTGATATTCAGACATGGGTTGTGTTAATGTTGTGTTACCAAAAAAACCCCTCACCAAACTAAAGGCTTTCCTGAGAAGGCCCACTCCTGAGAGACACTTTTGGAGTTATTTCTAAAGATACTGAGCTATTTCTCTGTCAGCTTTTGAGCTACTTCTAGAGTTTCTTATACACTGTATAAGGGACTGTGACTGTTTTGGGCACTGCATAAGCCCACAGCATCTAGAGATGCATCCTCACTGGTGTTTTGCCCGTATTTATTTCTCATACACTTACATGGACATATTGAGGGCTAGTGTTGTCCAGTAGGCTTCCATGGGTGCAGTGACTACTGCATCAAACAGCACTTCCTGGACCAACTCCTCATCACCTAAGAAGAAGGGAGAACACGAATCAGGAGAGAAAGGCATGTTCCTCCTCAGATGTCTTAAAGGGTCCCTTGTTAAGGATCATCTGCCTGGCCAGGACAGTGGAGCAACATGGCACAAAAAGAGGCCTCCTGTTACAGGGCTGCGAACAGGACCTACCACCCTGGATGGCGGAGAACACAAGAACAGAGGTTACAGCTAGCATGATCAACTGCATACTCAGTGGAAGGGTTTGGGTTTGAATGTGTGGGCAAGTGAGAGGCTTTCAAATTAATTTCTTCATCAGACCTTCACTCTGACCTTTTCCTTGATTGAACATGCTGACCACAGTCATTGCCTCAGATCCCTGCCTTGACCTTTCTTCTGGGTGCCCTGTACGGAGTACACCAGCCACCCCATTCCCTTCAAGAAGCTTTCTGCAAAAACACTAGTGACTTCTTCATGGCCTCTATTCTGTCCTTGTACTTACTGGCTTCTCTGTTAGCCATCCTTCCTGTAAGTCTCATAAGACAATGTCCTGTCCTGGTTTCCACCAGAAGTTCTAGCCAGTCTTGGCTACCAGTCTAGTCCACTCTGGACTGGAACTGAGAATTGTTTAGGAAGATTTGAGGTACCATCATGTGCTAAATGACATACTCTAAAATCCCTGTCATAAACCCACTAGCAGTCAATGTAGCAGGAGGAGCTGTGCTTCAGTGCCAGTCACTTCCGAAGCAGCTTGAACTCCTTTGTAGGCTGCCAGTATCTCTTTTACAGCTGAAGTATAGCCAGCCTTGGATCCTCCGTATTCTCAACTCTAAAAGCCAAGGGGTTGACCTCAAGTCTTCCCTGGAGCTTTCTGCCAGAGGCTCCAGGTAGGACCATTCTCCCTGGTTGCAACGTAGAGCACATTTTTCACATCTTGTCCTGTTTGGGCTGGCCCAAGGGCTACTGCATGAACTATCTCCTGTTTGATTTGGCCCCACATATCTAGGATGCGTCCAAATCGTATTTGGTTTTCCTCCACAGCACTTCCAGGTCTGCATGTTTCTCATAGTCAGCTCTCCTGAAACTTTCCTCCTCCTTCTCTCTGGCCTCTTCAACTCATACATCTCCTCTTTTCTACCTGCTTCAAAGACAGCCAGGAGGGGTCTGCTCATACTGTGCAAGAGAGGAACAATTATTGGACTACATTTGATTTTAGGTTAAGAGATTCCCATCCTTGTGCCAAAGGTTTGTGCCTCTCAGGTAGAGCATTACGTGCAGAAGCTTGTGCTTGGCATTGCTAAGGGGTCTGAAATGATGGAGAGTGAGGGGGCTGAAGAACATCCTAAAGCTAAGTTGCTGTAAGGAGTTCCCATGTCCACCTCTGCTCCCCAACAGAGATCCCACTCTATAGAGGTGCTTTATCAGCTGCTTGTGTGGCTACACATTGCCTGGAGAGCGAGTGCAAGAGATGGCCAGCACTGGGAGTAGGAAAAAGAATCATTCTGTTGCATTTTTTTTTCCTGAGTCAGTTACCAATTGTGTTTGGAAAACAAAATGAATAGTCCTTGTCCTGAAAGAACCCATCTCTCTGGATGGCACTATGCAGCCCATGGAGGATGCTGGCTGGGATGCTGGGGAGGAGAGTAGTCACAGCAGCTTTCCTGGTTCCTCCTGCCATCACCCTTTCTATCCCAGCTGGTCAGTCTGTCTTAAACACGGTGTATAGCCCCTGCCAAGCTTCATTCAAGCCTTTCACCTTTCAGTATTTCCAGTGCTGAGACCTCCAATAAGGCCAAGTTATGTGACAGCTTTGAAATGGAAAAAAATTCCTCAGAGACAGATGAGGAAGTAGATCCTCAGCTCATTTCCACTTGTGAATTAAGCTGGCTTGAGTTCAGTCCTGCCTATGTGAGCAGGTGCTGCAGGAGCTCAGTCTGACACGAATCAGTTTGTCATAGTCCCCTCTCCCCTGTGGTCAGTACAGGAAAACCCCATCAGGGCCTGTTTGGTGCCTGGGACTCACATTCCAGGTCAGGCTCCTCTCCAGTGAGGAAGCGGATCACAGCCTCCAGCTGGCTGAGCTTCCGGTGGTCCGGATCAATGTCGGTGATGCAGTAAATCCTGGTGGGGAGGGGAGAGAAAGAGAAACCAGTGTTAGGCAAATTCTCCTAGAAAATAATAACTGCAAACAAATATTCAGCAAGAGACCTTGTGCTGCAGAGATTTTGCCGCTGCTGCATGTTGTTCCCACTCAAAATCTAACAATGTGGCTATATGAACAATAACAATGGGATGGAGAGACCTGAAAAGCAGAGGGTCATGTGCAATGTAAGACCAGACTGAGAGAACAGAAAAAGCAAAAGAGAGAAACAAAATGTGAGGTGAGGAATGATACCGCAGTATGGTATGATGGCAATAAAAGCTGTCCCAAAGGGACACAGCTGCAGGAGCCTCAGGACACGGTTTGGGGAGAAGAAGGAGAATGTATTGCAAATGCTCTGTATTATAAAAGAAGCCAGTCTTCTAATCCTGCTTTCAATTTTGACTGCGTCATTGTCAGGACAAGTGAGGGTAAGGGGTTATAAGAGAGAATTACAATTCATAAAAGAGCTGAAAGGAGTGATTTATGAGGGAAGCCTAAGAGAAATGAATATGTAAAGTGTGGTAAGCTGACACCCCAAGTTAGGAGTAGAAGAAGGAGAAGTCACTGCTTATGTCTCAAATGCGCTGCCTGTGAAACTTGACAGTGTAATGAGAGGTGTGAAGGGCTGCAGGGTTTGTTGAATATAGTTATTTTGGCTTTGATACAGGCTGGGTTCATGTGCTTGAGTGTAACTGAATGTCGGGTTCATGAAAATCCCAAACCTCACAGCAATAAATGGAAAGTGCCATGCTTCACCCTATTTCATATCCAAACCAAGCAAAACCGTAAATTATGCTTGCTATTGAAACGGGGGTCATAAATCACCTCCACATTCACTAGAAATTAGGTCTAGGTTCAGTTCAGAAGAATGCCAACCAAAAATAAGCTAGGATTTAAAAAAGCATTTCAATCTCTCACCAAGCTTGCAAAAAAATTTCCTGACAGATCTGACATACTGTAGGTTTTGTAGCACAATTCTGAGCAACACGAGGAGGAATAAAATAGGTCTGAGCACAGAAGACTGAGAATAAATCTCAGGAGATGTTTCTTAGCAGAGGGATGTGCCAGGCCTTGGTGGGATCTCCCAAAGGAAGAGGTGGAACTGAACTGCCTAGAGACAATCAGGTCTTTGCAGGTACAGCCCCTGAACAACACTGCTTTCTCCCTAGGCCACAGAGGTGGTGAACTCAAGCCAAATTGCTGGGAACTGTGCCAAAATCTCCTGACAAAGTCCTCTGTCACTGACAGGATTTCCTCCACTTACCATTCATTTGCTAAAGACAAGTCTGGCTGGAGCAGGTCGTGCAAACCTGAAACCAGATAATACATAGAGTGTGCAGTTAGGTACCAGACAGGCAGATACAGGCTGTGAAGGAAAAGTGAAGCAGCGAAGTTCAGAGTAGCTACCTTATGCCTTAGGATAGTATGGCTGTGTCAGATTAACCTACCTTCTTCCACTGAAGTGTTCCCCAGCAGAATGTACTCCCCATGTCCCCTGGACAGCACAACACCCAGACTGCAGGCAGGAAGGAAAACAGAGGACTTGTCAGCAAGGAGAAGTGTAATCCCTGAATATGACACTGCGTTCCCTGCAATTACAACCCTTAAAGACATTAACTCCCCGCACAGCTATTAAAGAAAAGAACATCATCGTAAGAGGATTAGGTGAGATCCGACTTCAGCACGAGGCTAAAGAACCTGTCTATAGAGCTATGAAGCATTTTGGTGACAACTTTTTTTGGCCAGTCTTGTAGGCTCAGGTCAACAATAACATTTCTCGAATCTATGCGAATTTAAAACCATTTCAGCTGGGAAAAAAAACACAAAAAAGAAATGTTCACATGATTTCTTCATGTGACTTTTTGTAATATTCAGTTTATAACAATGTTTCATTTAGAGCCATACACCAGAACATGAAACATATTCAGCAGAACTGAAAATTGAAGATGTCTCGTTTCTCTGAAATGAAACAACATGCTTCACCTAAGGTATAGCTTTTGGACTCTGAACTTCAGATAAATGTAATATACCTTTTGAGCTGACCCCAGCAATATTTTAATGGCCATAGGAACAAAGAAGTCAGTTATTCACACTGCTCTACTCATGACTTGTAGCCAGTTTCATGAAGAAAAGGGACTAATTTGCTGTCCCTGATGGCAGACTTTTGACACCCTGGATTGGTGTCACACGAATCCTTGCTCACCTGAAGGGTGTTCCACTGATGTCCGTGAAGAAATAATCATTGGTGAGGAAGAGAACTCGTTTCTGAAATAAAAGCATGAGTAAGAAAGTGAGAGACCATCTGACAGACCAAGAGCATAGTGATAATGGGGAGCTGGGATATATGTCCCCAAAGCTAGGCAAAAGCAGTTGATCATTACCAACGCTTCACACCCTGCTAGGACTGGCTGGAGGCGGGGTGAACGTGCAGTATTCAGCATATTCAGCAACTTGTGACTTTCAGGATCCAGGCAGCCACTCTATCTTTCCATGTAGGGCTTCAGTTAAACCTTTCTTTGCTCTAGGGCTCCCGCACAGGCTGCAGGAAAGGGTGGGGGAAGTTGCCCTCCCTCTTGTACCTGTTGAGCCAACACACTGGGGCCCTGCAGCTCTTTTGCTATACAGAGCAGCCTTGATGGCTGGCACATCATCATCATTATCATCCCCAGCAGGAGGGGGGCTCAGGGGGGTAGGTAGGAAGGAGAGGTGGGGTTAGAGGAGAGACAGGATGGCAAACCTAGCCACAGTGTGGGTGGGCAACCAGGGCCAAGTCTCTCCACTCCTGTGGGAAATGCTGACATTCCTGACATATGCTTTCATGCTAAACTGGGACAAAACATTAACATATTTCAATTTTGTTGCAAATCATCAGTAAAAAAACCCAATTTACATTTTCAAATTGGAAAAAAGTGCTGATTCAAATCCAAACCATTTTGATTCACTTAAAAATGTTTTTTTTCAGACTGACATTTCAACTGAAGACATTTCAGATTATTGAAAGCTGCTTCAGAACTTCAGCTTTTTACCAGACTGGCCTTTTCCTGTAGGAAAGTGTTGATTTCAGTGGAACTCTTTTCCAAAGGAGAAAAGTTTTTGGAAAGTTTCTATCCAAACCTTATGCCAGTATATGAACCCTAATATGTTTAAAATCCCAGGCCCGATCTGAAAACGAGGTGAGAGGATGTGTGTGGGAGACAGGGAGTGAACACAGAAAACTCAGTGTTCCCCAGGGAAAGTCATACCTGCTTTAACTTGCTCAAGCCGTGCAGCATCAGAAGCAGAGCACGGCACAAAGGGTGAGCCAGCACCAGCTCTGTGCTGTGCCCCAAGTTTGTGCATGAAGTGGATGGGCTGATGGGGATAGGGGTTATTGTTAGGTGAGCAAGCAGAAGATGTCTCAGCCACTTCCCTCCCCTCTCTTTCCATGTGTGCCAGTTCTGTATTGCTGAGAAACAGGGGCTAAGTTTTTTGCTGAGCTGAAGATTTTACAAAAGTGTGTGATACCATGAAGGAACGTGGCATGGTGGTGTTCTGGTGGCTGTGGGGAAGGTACAAGAGGTATTAAATCTCCCTTTCACTTCCAGTCTGAGCTGATAGTGGAGGTGGGGAGGTATGGGGAAGGAAACCCAGGAATGTAGGCCTGTCTCTGGGAGAAAGGATGCAGTGGAAAATGGCCCAAGGGTGCCACTACTCTGAGAACTTTTCCTTCAGCAGGGCTTGTTGTGCTTATCCTTTGTTCCCCTGAGCTGCCCCTCCTCTGCACATGCAGCCACACAGCACTTGTACCTTGTGGGAGGGAGGGCAAACTTTTGTTTGGACAGAGGAGGGAATGGATGGCCAACCTTCCCCAAGACAGCTGGATGTATCAGCACTTATCCACAGGAAGGAAGAGAAGCAGAGGCATCCTTGAGCCGAGCGGGGCTGAGGATGATCAGGCAGGACTGATATACAACACAGAGGAAGGGAGAAGACAAGAACATGGGTGTGCTGGCACAGGGACAGGATGTCTGGCTCCCAGCACCTGCAGTCTGGGAACACGTTTCCAGTTTTGGTATTGTCACCACTGTATTAGGCAGCCAGCCCTGGCTAATGCCATTATCAGTGGTTTGCCACAGCTCCTATCCATGTGCTTGCCCTTTTGCTTTCACAGTCACAACCCTGTTGTACCCTAGTTGCAAACAAAGGCATTTTTGCCACTAGATCTCTCTAACAACCACCCCTTGTCTTTGGTCCTTATTTTCCCCTCTCTACCTCACTTTACTCTCTGTGTCTTCCTGAGATCAACCTGGGGAACCAGCGTTTGTGTGGCTAGCAGAATAATTTGTATCATCCTCTTCACTCAGCCCTTCTTTCTGCAGTCTGACTGCCTCGTTGTCTTTGTTTCAAGGCTCTGTCAGCAATTTCTTTGTTTCAATGCTACTCTGCTAAGTGTAGCAGTGGAATTGCTAAGTTTCACTTCTGGTCCTCACTCCATGTGTATTCTGATAATGGTGAAACTGTCACATACTCAGCTTCAGTCTCCTATTATGCTACATAAAGCTTACAGAGCTGCAGAATAAAATAGCTAATATCTCTTACAAAGGCTACTTTTTGTAATCTTTTTTCCCTAGGTAGGGGAGCAGAAAGATGACCCTAAAATACTGATCTAAAAAGGTATCTTTGGATGGCTCAGAATGAATGTTATTGAGGGTGCACAGAGACAGAGAGAGAGGTTAAGCTAGCAAAATAAGCAATCTAGACTTACGAAGGATAGATCTTGCTGTAAAACCCTGATTGCTTTTCCAACAAAATAACAAAGGTAATAGATGAATAGATGAAGGGAATAAAGGACACGCAATGTGTCTGGGTTTATATAAAACACTTGAAACAGCTTCTCATTAAATTTCATTCTAAAGAAGATGTTAAAGTGGGCTTAAATATGATGTGGAGTGAGAACCAGCTGCAACACTGTAAACAAAAAGAAACAGCAAACGACAGGCCATCAAGGGAAACAGATCTAATGAGAGGAACAGACAGACTGTCTTAGGAACCTTTATGTACAGTGGTCTGTAAGACAAAGTAAAACAATACTTCTCTGTATACTGAGAAAAAAAAGTCCCAACGACCTTAAAAATTAGAAAGATTAGACAAAACCGAGGAGTGGGATTCACATAGAAAAATGGCAACCGGAAAAAGTAGCTAAGAAGCATGGAAACCAAAGCAGCTGTTCCTGTGCAGCTGTAGAAGGGAGAAGAATACTGAAGGGACAAAAGAAAGGAGATTTGGGGCTCCCTTTTCAGAAATATCCTATTGCAGAGAATAGAGGCTCTCTACAATAGCAACAGGGAGCAACAGGGAAACAGTACTCAAATAATTCAGTGAAGCCCTGGTACCTGCATTCCAGAAATGGTACAAGAGACAATGGGAACAAAAATAATTGCTGAACTGCTTGGACTGAAAAGCATGCAAGTATTTCAAACGCAGATGCTGGCAATGTCCAGGAGAGGAAGGGCAAAGCCATTGAAAGGTACCTGATAGTTGCAAACACCAGAAATAAAGAAAGCGAATTTAGTTACAAGATGTAGCAGCACAACCCTTCAGAGGAAACTGAGTGGTGCCTTCATTAGGAAGTGGCACCGTTTCAGCAGTGGCTGTGAGCAGTTGGTTTAATTGGAATTGGTGTCGACTGTGGCTTAGCATGGGAGAAGTTCAGCCAGCCCGATCGCCAAAAAAAAGTGTTCTCTGTAAGAGATGGAAATTTTTCCTGAAATATGGAAGACTTCTGGGCAGTGTAACTTGCAGGACTCTGGAATACTTCCTAACAGGAAATGATGAAAGCCAAAGTCTTTAGGAGGGTTAAATAAGCCTGAATGAAAAAGTACCAGTGAATGTAAACGTACAAGATAATTTTGCACTGATTCCAAGGGAAGATGTATAACCCTACATAAGAGCTGGTAGGGAACGTTCAGAAGTCTCCATTTCACTAGGACTTTTCATAAAACATCTGTAAATATTTGCGTAGAAATTGAATCCTGGACCTGCATAAAGGAAATCACATTCTGACAGAGTGAGGGACAAAGCTTTCATGAGTATTTTTGGGTAGGAAAACGGGGTTGCAAAATAGGCTCCAAACCTCTGTCTGTCTAGGTCAGCTCAGCAGTCTTCCCCAGTCAAAACTCTTTAAGATCTTTGATTCATTTCACGGCCCTATAAACAATTAACAATATACTTTTTGGCTTTTCCTGGACAAAGAAGGGAGCTGTGAGGCATTCCCAATACCTTTGTATGAGCAGAAGGTTGATAGGTATAAAAAGCACATCTAACGATGCTCTATTTTATGTCTTTAGCATATGTGTTATGTATGCGGTGAAACAATAAAATCTTCACACTCAGAAATGCTGAGCATTAAAACCACATCCTTTGTGGTTGTTCAGCATCCATTTCCCATCCCCTCCCTCATGTGACCTGAGCAAAAGCATAATGTCTTACCCCTTTATCCACAGGGACCTTCACATCCATGGAGAGGTAGCCTGTTTCCCCATTGATCATGGCAGTTCTCAGCTGCAGAGGTGAACAAGTGTTAGTGTCTCCAGGCAGGGCAGGAATTAATAGAGGTTGCCATTAACATACAGGGTCTTGCAGAAAAGAGTGACTGTGCCCCCTGCTCCCCCTAGCTCTTTCTTGCTTCTTTTAAACTGAAAACCTGTTCTCAGTGGTCAGGATCCTTGTTCCTTCAGGCTGATAAGTGACACAGAATAACGATGGTTTATACTTAAAGCTTGTTGATATGCCTTTTCAGTGAAAAGAAAGGATCTGGAAGCTATGAAATTGCCAGTCCAAGTTTCAGACTTTACAGTTTAGCAGCCAGAAAGTCATTAGCATGGTGCTTTGAGAGCCTGGAAGCGGAGGCAACTGAGAAACCCAGTAACTCCCCCAGACTGATTCCAAAGCTCTTTGACATTTTTTAAACTGATTTATAAATTGTAGGCTGTATTCAGCACCACTTCTGAAGTGCAGCAACGCAGCTGTTTAACACAGCAAAGCAAGACTTTATGATAGCAGGGTAGGCAGTGAGAAGACCACTTTATTCAATCCAGGTTCCAAAGGCAAAATGTAGTTTTCACAGTTATTCCCAGCCTCTTGCAAGTAAGAGCCAGGGAATTTTTCCACTAGTGCAGAGGCTTTGACTTCAGGTCTAGCCTGCCAGAGCATATCAACCTATTGCTTCAGCCTGGATAGAAAAAAAGGTGGGAAGTAACTTATTCATTCACACAAATTGCTTCCTTACTTCCAGAGACAGGCCTCCATTCAGGTGCTGGCCAGTCTCAACTGCATTACTTTACAAGGCCACAGTTTTGTTTATTACGGCTGTTTGATGTGGGTTATTTACGGACTTAGAATATAAAGCTTGTGTTCCCCAAGGCCCATGTCTTGGAAATTAAAACACTGACTGGTACTATTACTTCTTTTTGGCTTAGAGTGTTTGACCTCCTGCCAGAGCCACAGCATACTCTCTGTTCAGGTCTGACAGCCTGCAGCGTTTGCTATGGGTTTTGAGTTTAGTCCAGATATTGTTTCATCTCTATCTTCTTGAATATCAGGCATCTTTCCCCTGTAAGGCAGTGGGGAAGTAAATCAGTGGCTATCTGAGGTCTCCTCAGATGTCCTCAGCTCCAGCTGGTCTGCAGGCAGGCTCCTGGTCCTGTGCCCAGCCCCCAGATGGCAGTGGCTGTGGGTTGGTACCACAGTCCAGGCTTTCTCTGTCTTCTTCAACAGCTTTTCCAGCATTGAGAAGTCAGTCACAGTCCTGGTGCCTGGGAGCCACAGAATGCTCAGTCCTTTTCTGGCAGCACACTTCTGGCAACAGCTGGCCTCCACTTTGAAAAGTGTGTAGCAGAGTCTGGATGCAGGGGAGCTCTGGTCCATGCTGAAGTGCTCGTTCCTGACACTCCAAACAGCAAACTCCTGCTCCAGGGCAATGAGTCTGTGCTGTCCCCACCACTGGTAATGAGTTCTGCAGACTCCATTCCCCTGTCTGTTTGTGTGGCTTCAAACCAACACAGACATACAGTTTAACTGAGGGGTTCTCACTACATCTATGTGTTTTGCCACTCAGTTTCAACATCTTTCCAAACTAACTTCTTCTTCTTCTGTAAAAACTGAAGAAAATCTGTTTGGGTGACAGCTCCTAGACTGCTGGGGAGGATCTCTTGACTCTTCCCTTTTCCCCTCACACTGAGACTACCCCTGTGTTGCTATATAAGCAAGCCCAAACTTCCTTGCTGCGTAGCTGCAGCTAGCACTATTGTGCATCAATTGGTATTTTCCAGACAGTGCCATCTTCCCTCCCCTAGATTTCTTTTTAGCAGCTGGTCTGTATTACACATCATTAGCACTTGGGCATATTTTTCCAGTCTGAATTTGTTGCTTATCAGTGTTGCCGAGATTATACTGCAACTGATGTTGAGTCTGTCATTGATCTAATACCATAGCTGCAAATATGGGTGTTGAAATGTTGGCAGCTCTCTGCTGCAGTGGGTGTATCTTGAGAGTCTCTAGACTTGCTGAAGTCACACTGCAGATACCGCTCGCGTCACTGAAAGTCTGTGTACCCTCAGTGACTGCAATGTTTCTGCTGGAAGATGCAGTACAGGAACACAAAGTGGCTTTGTTTTTCATGCCTCTTTTGACTTTTTTTTTTACATTGGATAGTTTTACTCTGCCTACAGACAGAAACCTTACACTTTGCATCATATTTGCATCAGGTATCTGTTACTTCGTCAGACAGGAACCTGCTAGCCAAATAAATATGACAGCAAAGTTCTCCAATTTTCTGGATTACTATTTTTGTGTGTGTAAAATAGCAATCTGTAAAGAAGCGCAGTTCTAATAATGGCTTGAATAAGAGAGAAAACTACAATGGGAGCAGAGCTTCTAGAAGATACCAGTGAAGCCACAAAAAGCCATTGGCAACCTTCATCTTGGTGGTTCCACTGCATGTAGAGCCTCTTATTTTTATCTTGCTTTCCAGGTTTCACACCCAGTTCTACTGTTTCCTTTCTTAGTTTGCCACTTTCCCAGTTCCCAAGTTCTGCTGGTGTGGCCCTTTCTACTTGGCCTGCGCTAGTGGCAGTAGCTACTTTGATCTTCTTGCAGGGTGGTTCATTTGTCCTACCTGTTTAAGTGGATATCTATAGCATCAGATCCGTTTATCTCAGCAGTCTCCCCTGTAATCCAGAAGCATGTGTGCCACCACTAATTCTATCTTACTCCAAATTCAGTTCTTATCTTAAGTATCTATTCTCTCCTAATTCTCCTGAGTAAGAGAAAACCAGCCACAGAGGAACCTCTCTACCTTCTCATTGTATCTGGGTTCCTATTGCAATGTGGATATGTGCACCTAAGGTGATTACCTTTTATCTCTTTTTAACAATTTTGCTCAAAAGACAATAGAAAAGGTATTTTCTAGTCTTTTCACTCTGGTCAGCTACTGTTTCAGTGCCTCCACAGCTGTGCAATAAGGTGGCTTCTGGAAATTGTTTCTTCTCAGGTGTCTAAGTCCCTTATCCTCTTTGTCTATTATGAGTAATGGCTACAAGCTTTAGTCTCTTTCTGAATGTACTTTTTTCCTTGCTGCAGATCTCATTACTTTAGTGGCTTCATCTATATCTCACATACTACATGTACAGGTAACATCATGGGACACTGCCATACTCCTAAGTTATCTTGGCTTTACATTAAGGCAGCATTTGGGCCATATACAGACTGGCTCCTTGAAGCAGTGCGTATATGACCCTGAAAAGTGCTTCCTTCCTCCTGCCAGTGCTTTCCCTCCCTGATCCATGAGAAGGAAAGCTCATACTGGGAAGGAAGACAGGCACTTTGTAGAGGAGCATCATCTGTGTCCTCTTGTAGGGGCCAGTCAGGCACAGAAAAAACTATGAATGCCTGCTGTTCCCCTGTTCCTTCCATACAGGCACACAAAGTAACAGAAAGAAGGAGCTGCAAAACCAGGCTAAATTCTCTTTCTGATACTCACTATTTCATCCTGGTCTTCCCATTCCACTTCTGAGAGATCTACACTGTTGTAGTTTGGCTTAGGCTTCAGTTTCTTTCCTTCTTTATACTGGTGTTCATTAAAAAAAGAAAAGAAAAAAGGAATAAATACACAAGTGAGAGTCTAGATAAACTCCTAAACTAACCTTTTAAGAATTAATGTGTAATTTGAAAAATAGAGGCATCTCATTTGATCTCTGACTAGGAAGGCAGCTTTTGGATGCAAGTGCCTTCTTCGTCCCATGCCACGTACTTCGTTATGTGAGCACTGAAGGGCTAGAAGAGTTCAAGTGGAAGAGGCTGATTCAAGAGCAAGGTACAGGCAGGAACACAGATAAACTTGGAGGTAAAGGCTAGACCTTCCTTTGTGAGAATATCCTTCTAAATAGTTCAGTACAATACACTTACCTCCAGGAAATAATTTTTTCCCCACAGCTAAGAGTGTAATCCCATTAACACTAATAATACCAGCAGGAGATCTTTTCTGATGGGAATTAGGCTTTGACTCCACTGACACAAAGGTAGGTTTTCCACCTAGGGCTAACTCATGCAAGAAAGCTGTTTCGCTGTAATCTTCTAGGAGAAGGAAAATGTGAAGGCCAGTTTCAGGGGGAGGATAAAGCAGTGCCTTTGCTTAACTTAGCTTTGCCCCATCCTGAAAACGTGTCCCTTCCCTTCACATACTGAAATAACTACCGGTGCCTGTGGTCTCCCTGTGCAAAGTTGCCTTTTTGAAGACAGTGGCTGTGAAACCCTGTGGTGGCTTCACCACAGGCAAGAGGAAGCTTATAGCTGTGCGCAAGTGGATTTGTGGTGACAGGCATACATATGAAATGTGAAATCATTGCATGCCTGAGTATCTGAGTAATAAGGCCAGCTGTGTGTCTGCAGACAAATGTGCAGCCTGGAGATCCAGGTGGCACTGCGAGGGAGTAATGTTGTCCTTGTGTCCACTCTCTCAAGTCTCAGATGGCCTTTGCAGCCTACCGGTCTCTAAACTGTATCTGACTTACCATGCTCCTAAGACTTGTGGACCCTGCTATTCTCAGATTCCCAAACTGTCCAACACTATAGCTGCTGGGTAGCTATTACTGTGGTGCTACTCATGCTGAATCTTCTTGTAGGAGATGTGCTTGAACAAGGGGAATTGTTTGTTCAGCCCATCAGTGAAACCTTGCATTGATGCAGATACATGTGCACCCACAGTACAGCAAATGCACACAAATACAGCCCTCACATGCATTCTTATGGAGAACAGACAGGCAGGGTACCCTACGCTTCATACACGTGTGTCCAAATATACATCTTTGTATGTGGAATTGATTTCTCTGGCCCTCATACTTGTGGGTGCTATATATCAGAGCCTGGTAGCCATCACAGCTCAATAAAATATGAGAAATAGGAGCATCCCTGAAAGCCACTGTTTCCAAGCAAGCAAAGGTTCTCAAATTCATAGCTATACATACCAAAGGACGGAGGTCTGGGTGTGAAAGGATGTACCCATTGTTGGTGTTCAGAAAGGCGTATCCATGGACGCCCAGCTGGAGAAAGGAGCATTTCGATAATTAGTGTTTTAGCTATAAACACTGCTGTGTAATGGGTGCCACTGATACCTTGGCACCACAAGTATTCAGAAATATTTTCCTTTTAAAGGTATTGACTGGCAGAAAACAGGGTCCATCCCAAACCATTTATCTCCAGATCTCTGGCTGCTCTGTCTGAGCAGGCTATGATGGGATGCAGAAAAGGGTGGACAGGTAGTTGATCTGTGTACACATTCAGAAAAAGATGCCTTCCTAGAGTGTGATTGTCCTTGTGGACAATTACCACCCAGAGGCAGAATAAGCTCTCCACAGCAGGCACAGCAGTGCTGCACATGAAATGGGCAAGGGTGGGGAATGTTATAAACAATACAGGAACAGTGGTGACAGGTCTGTGTGCCCATCACTACATATGCAGAGCAGTGAGTGATCAAGTGAGTATTAATCTCACAGATGGCTTCCCTGGAAACACAGTCAGTCTTCAGAGGAGCTTTGCATTATGTTTCAGTGTTGGCAAGACCAGACCCAGCCTAGGCCAATTGTACAACCCTGTAGTCTTAAAACGCTTTTTACAGAATAGCATAATCTAACAAGAGCAGGCACTGCTTTACCTGATCTGGAAGAGATTTCCGAGAGAGCAACTACTCAGATCAAGCCCATATATAATCCAAATTCCAGCTAACCCCCAAGTTCCTACAATCCCGCTGGTAGCCTGTGCTTGCCAAACCAAGAGGTGCCTCAAGGAAAACAAGAATGGCTAAGGGTTTCTGTCTCCAAAAAAATGTTGCAAATTTATATTCCTATAGAGACAATCCTGCAGGGATACGAGTAGGGAAGTGGGGAGGCAAGTCATTTACAATCCGTCTGTGCTTTTTTGGAGGGAATGAATTCTGTATTTCACACATCCCAGATCAAAACTTTGGACTCTACCTACGTGAAAGTTTTTTGCAGAGCACACTGAGCTCAGCTCAGCATGGCAAGAGTGAAACCAAGGCATTGAATCAGGACTACAGCAAACTTCCTTGTTGGCCTGTTAAAGCTGAAATTTCCCAGCCCAGTAAGCATGATCATAAATGTACAATCTCTCAAGGGTTGTAACTCTGGAGCTGGTGCTTTGCAACTATATGCCAGGGGATTAAGTTGAGGATCCTAGGTTTCCAAACTGGTCTGGAGTTGGAAGAGGTTCTGGGAAGTCACGTCCTGCCTCTGACATAAGGACATCCTTCAGATAATTTTCCCTCCTCCACTGCTTGAGGGAAAGAACAGTGTCCCTCTTTGGCCCAGAAGAAAGATTTTTGTGACACATGGCCTTTGAGTGACATGGTGGGAGTAGGATGTAAAGTGTTGGTCTTAAGGAGAAAATAAACACGTATGAAAATTGAAGCTCTTAGACAAAGTTCCCTCAGACCCAAACCAGCTAGCTTTTGGTGCTGAGTGTATGCACCCCACCACTCAGTTCCCGGGTTGCCTGAAGGATCATTACCTACAGCTGCCCCGCATCCATGTCTGGAAACACCACACAGATTCACTGTCAGCCTCTGACAGCATTTTCAGTCCTGTGAGTCTTCAGCAGTCAAATTTTGGACAACTGCCTAACTGGTGGTATTTGTCTGATAGTTACTCAAGAGAAACTGAAAACTTGAAATGGTGGCTCAAATCACCTGATTTCATGGTGATCCTCAGATGTTCTTTGCTGTGTGCAGACTGATTGAACAAAAGGTCACTGCACAGTAATCACAGCAGAACACAAACTAAGCAATACATCTCAGGGGGTCCTATGGATGAGCATTTTTGTTTTTTTAAGATATATTGAAAATAGAGCTAGTGGAAAGTTGTTGGACAATTCTGGAGAGCAAATACTTTATCTAGGTACAGCACGAGTGAGTGAGAGCCAACTTCCTGTGCGCTATCCTGCCAAGAAATCTTCATGCTGTTCTGGAGAAAGGAACCTCTGGGCATGACAGAAAATTTGGCTCTCTGTAGTCCATTCAGTCCTCAGTTTTACTGCTAAGTGAAACTAGTTTAATTTTTGCCAGCTGCCATGGCAGCTTTTGTGCACCGAGAAATGGATATAAAACTTCACTTCTTCTGAGGTAGGCTGTCAGATCTGTATCAGCTCCAAGAGATCTAGTTTGGTGACCACCAAGATGCAAACACTCATGACCTGTTACCGATCTACTGGATCATCCAGTCCTTGTGTTTCTGAGGCAGCATAAGAGCTTCTAATAGTGAATGATTTCCCATGTGCTATATAGAAATCACACATCACCACATCCAGCATCTCTTGTTTCACACTTACAGTTATTCCTACAGGCAGAGGAATGATTTTTCAGTCATGCCCATGGAAGAATGACTGGTGACTTTGCTGTGCAAAATAGCAAATTACTTTATCTCAGTCTTACCTTATACCGTGGAGCAAGTTTTAACAACTCCCTCAGTGGTACATCAGAGCCCACCACACCCAGGAGAATGCCATGAGATCGCTTAAAAAACAGAGGAGAATCCATTTTCAGAAGCAAGACCTGGGTAATTTTCTACCTGAATACACATTATTGCATTCCTACAAGTCTGTTTCATATTCTCTCCAGGCTTGTGTATGTTAATTGAAAACCAACTAACATACCTCAAAAAGTCTAAAGAGGTTGCTCCAGTGTTTATGGAGAGGAGTGTTTCTAGTGAGCATTTTTAACTATAGTTCAGAAGTAACATAAAATCACTGAAAACAAGTTTTGAGGGAAACCCCCTCAGTTTCAGTGTATGTAAATATACAGTAAGGACAAGGCAATCACACAAAACAACATGGATTGGTTGATAACTTGGGTTGCTTAAACCAAATGCCAAATACAGAACTGTTAACCTAGGAAAAAGGAATGCCCCATGAAATGGGGAACTGACTGTTTAATAAGTGTCTGGAGAACATGATGGGAAAACGACTCACAGCATCTCACTGCAGCGCTGTGTTAATACAGGTTAAGGCAAGCCTCAGGTGGAGGAGGAGGACAACTTTTTTTAGGACCAGAAGATACAAAAGGGCACAGGCTTTTTAATCTGCAGAGAATGTCATTATGGCAGGAAGGTGAGACCAGACAAATTGAAAGTGGAATTTAGACACCAGTTTTTAAGGCAGAGTGAGAAACCATAATAGAGACGTCGGGATGGATGCCTTTCTTCAATGATGCTTTTCCCAAACACAGGTTATTCAGCTCATGAAAAACCGTCTATACGAAATGTAAAGGTCTGCAGTAAAAAGCACAGACTAGACAAGGTAATGATCTCTTCCAGCCTGAAACTTTATGGGTTTGTGAACTAGGCTCAGTTTGAAAATGGAAGGTATGAAACAGGGGAAATACAATATTTAAGGGGTATTTTGAAGAGATAGCATTCAGACCATTAATTTTGTCAGATAAATTTTCAGCTGCCCTTCCTGGCAGAGGTCTACTGCAGTCTGTAATGGCTGCCTGTTCTTTCAGAGACCCATTGGCTTTAAAACCTTGCAAAGGTCTGCTGTATCCTTTTCACCTTTGCTGGCTGAAGGAGAGGGACGCCCGTGTTGCACTCACCGTCTCGTTCTTTTTGCTGAAGACTGGCATAGCCACTGTTGTCATGAGCAACAGACTTTGAGCCTGAGATGCAAAGAGCTGCCACAGAAGAATGAGCTGTGTGTTAGCAAATGCAATACCACAGATAGATAACCCAAACGAAAGGCATTGGAATTCCCAAAGACCCCTGAAGTTAATTACAAGTAGCCACCTCCTTGCCTCCCACACCGCTCTAAAGACAGCACTTTTCAATACTCTGTATCCAAGAGGATCGTGGGATGGATGCTTGCTCGTGAGGGGTGATCATGATGGGATGAATGCCAATGAAATGAGTTGAAGCAAGAAAAATTAAAGAGCTGTTTTAATGAAGAGACAGAAACCTGTAGAAGGGGTGGCACGATTTATACCCACCACACATTGGAAGCGTAGACATAAGCGCTTATACAACAAGTGTAAAAAACCACCAACACAAGGAGTACAGGATAGAGAAAAGCAACACAAACATGAGCAAAATCACAAACAAGATGTCATCTATATTGCAAACACATAAATACCACAAATGAGAAACACCAATGGCAAATATTTAAAGGGCACAAATACACACAGAGCCTGCTTATATACACTTGCTACTTAACCATCTAAGCTTAGGAAAAACAGACAAATCATGATCCAAACAGATCATGGTGAGCTATCTCTACAGGGGATACAGGACATGTACGTGTAATGGGGAACAGATACTCCCAGTTCTGCAGAAGGCAGATGCTCTAAAAGCACACATGAAAGGAGGTAAAACAGGTAAGACACATGTGAAGAAGTCTCCCAAACATGCCCAGCTACCAAAAGAACCTAATCCCTCAAAGCCAGTAGCATTTCCCTCTCATCTCTTACTTGGTCAAAGAAGTAGTAAGGCAAGAAAAGACCTTCTGTCTCCATTATTATACGTGCTAGGAACCATAAAGGAGTGAGTCAATCTATAAAGTCATGTGAAGGAGACTTGAGCCTGCTATCTTGAATTACTGGTCTGGATAATTCCTCATGGAAACTTTCCATTCACAGCAACAGCCACACTAACACACAGCAAGTAAACTTCTCCAGTGCTTAGTGAATATATGGAAAAATAGGTATGGTGAACTAAGCTACTGCACAACACAGACACCCCTACCTACTCTGAACCAACAGCACAGCTCTCCAGTACATCCATCATTTCCTCTCCTCTTCTTGCCAGTGTAAGAGGACTCCACCAGTGCTGCAGCCCCTGCCCCCCCAGATGTACAGGCCAGCTGTGGCTGTGAGCACTGGCACTGGCACACCAACTGGCACAAGGGAAACAGCACGCTCACAAAACACAGGGGTGCAGTTACCTCCTCAGACTGTGGCAGCTAGTGAGAGACACGGATGAACAGATGAATGAGTACATGAATGGAGGGGTGAATCAAAGACAGGAGAGGTTGGGATGGAGGAAGAGAATAGCAAACCAAGCAGCAAGAGAAGAGAGGCAGCAAGAAAAATAATGCAACAATCAAGTCCCTGTGGCTGCCTTGGGAAGTGTGACACCATACACCAGTGCCAGGGGTGGCACGCCTGCTGATAAAATAAACTTGCTGGGTAGTTAGCAGCAGTTCTGGAGGCTTTGCTTTGCATGCTCAAGTACCATGTCTCCAGCTCTCACTCAGCACAGCTCTGGCAGCAGAAGACATCCCCACGTCACCCTCACTGAGCTAATGTGCCACAGCTGCAGCCTTAATGGTCAGCCACAGCACAGAGGTGGGGGACAGTCCCTTCCCACAAAAGTCTCCTGAGTGTAGCATCTATGTACTGTTGTGGTGCAAGCCTGACTGCCTTAGAGGTATTTCTTGGGGTTTATGTGGTCTTGAGTCTGAGCACAGCATCAAGCACTACAATGGGTGACCCAGGTCATGTTTCCTGCTACAAAGCTAAGCTTAGTACCCCTAGTTCTACTCCAACTCATAAAGTTCAGGTTTCTTACCATGGATCTTAAACATGAAAACTGTGGTTTGTCCCTAGGGCTGTGGCAGACACCCTAAAGCTGCTGCTGGCCAGATCAGAGCAAATAACTTCAGTCCCACAGTGGGACAGGGACATCCTCAATTTTTCTAGAATACTTTTTCCCCTCAGATAGTACAAACAGTTCTAAGACCCCGGGTTTGTTTTTGAAAGAGGGAAATGAGATTTTTGGTCAGGTCTAGCTGTCACAGTTATATAGACACTTCTCCAGGGTGGAGAGTCCAGTGTAGGAAATAAACTTCATCCCCCTGAAAGCACAGCCCCAGAATAAGAACTGTAACTTTCTCTTTGGCAATGCAAAAAGGCATGGAGGTGGAAGCTGAGGAATGCCTTCTATTTGGGGAAGTGCAGGGGAAGACTCCTTCAGTGGAGGTCTACTCCTTTGTCCTTCCCTTCGCTCCTTTGAATTTCAAAGCCTCCTTGGCAATACACTACCATAAATAGCACTTGCTCATGGTCCAAATGTCTTCCCATACGGCAGGCCTGTGACAAAGCAATGGGAGTTCGGAGTGCTGACTATCTGGTCCTTTGCCGTGTGTCCTTTACCCACAGGGCTGAGTACAGGGCCACTGCAGTGACATTAGGACTTGCTAGCTCAAGGAATGAAAGAGTGAGCCTGCTTCCCAAACTGAGATCAGTATCTTTGAGTGGCAAGCAGTACGCATTTAGCTACCAGGCTGGAGGAAATAAATCTCTGTGACCCATATCCTGAGCTGTAAATCTTTCCTGTGAATAATCCTTTAGAAGGCAACCTGCTTTCACACAAGCACTGCTTAAATCATGCTGTACCTGTGTGATTAGCCCTGGGCTCCCTGGTCACTGCAGATTCAGACCTGAGTCTGCATACACATCTCAACTCCAGAAGTGAGCAGAAAAGAAACACTGTCTCAGCAGTGCCAGAGCCCAGTAATTTCTATCAATCAACCAACTCCTGGTTTTATTCAGATTTATTTAAACTTATTTAGATTCTGATACACGTAAGATATTTAGATGGATCTGGGACAAGTTATATGCCTAATATACTAGCTGGGTGTCTAATGCCTTTTCCAGTTTGGCCCATAGGCCCTACTCTTTGCTGACTTAAAGACTTGTCCTTACCGCACTGTCCATGTAGGCTTCAGTCCAAATAATGTCATGGTCATGGTTGATAACCATGGGTCGGCTGAGGACATGCAGGTACTCCATCACGTTCTCCTGGACGTCTGCCAGTGTGGAGATCTGAGTGTAGTAGCCTTCATGGAGAAACAGAGGTGTGAGTCACGCTGCTCACATGTCTTCAGTATTCTAAATGAATGTCTGTGCAAAGCTAGAAAACTAGATGCCAAAGACTATATGCCCAGATGGCTTATCTGCTCTTTACAAAATGTGCCTTGACATGCCTTGTATCCACAAGCTTCTGTGGACATATGTTTCTGTGGAAATCTAGAGTTTCAAAGGATTGGCTCTGTTCTTCTCAAAATACTGGACCAATGCACAAGACCAGAGTCCTGATACCATGCCAAATAGATGTAAAATGTTTCTTTGTGTCTTAGGCAAAACTTAAGTAAAAAAACCCGAGTAATCAGGCTGCCTTTGTTCCTGAAGGCCAGACATACGCAAACAAAGTATTCCACCAGGCTACCCGCTTACTCTGCCCAATTTTATATTAAGCCCAAACTCTCAACTTCTCTTCCAGACTTTTTCCAGCACTCTACTCTTCAGTCTGCCTAGCTTTACGTCCAAGGATGGTGACTACTTCCATCTACCTGTTGGAAGCAGAACCTAAAAGTGCAAGTTACCTATTTTCCTCTGCCCCTGTAGATGGACCCATGCCAGTCTAATACTACAATAAGGAGTACAGGGGAAGGATGTTTTCAAGTTATCAAAAGGCCCTTAAAACTCTCTGCTTAACTGGTTAGAAATGTTAACACAGTGTAATGTCACAACAAGTCCTGCTTCTCATCACATGGAACTGATTGGTTGCACTTGGCATGGGACAGAGTATGTCTGATAGATAGAAAACACTGCCATGTGAAATGGCTCATGATCTGATAATCTTTGTGATATGGAAACAGTGTGCTTGAAAACAAGGACTACAAGAGCTATAAAATGCGTTGAAAGAGAAGAACCAAAATCAGTGAGCCTTGTGCAGAGCTCAAGTCTGGTAACTGAGAACTCAAGTGCAAAGAGCATAGTTTTGTTCTCTGGTTATTCAGGAGAATCCATTCTCACATTTTATGTGAACCAACAGTGCAGTGAATTCCCTATCACTAATCTTATGGCTGATTGTGCAATCTGAAATCCAGGTTTTTGATTCATATATCAAAAACTGAGAGTATTAAGTGTGATTCATAGTGCTAATAGACAAACATTTGAGCCTTGGACAGCCCCAGCTCACAGATATTCTGCAGGCTAGCAACTCTTGTCTGTCAATTATTTTCAGTAGCGAATGCACCCGTGCATTTCATAGCCTGCTGGAACTATTGCTCAGACAGGAAAAGAGTCAATATACCTAGCTAGTCAGCCCCCAGCTTCAATCTTCCCTTCCTTTCCCTGTTTAAGCAGGATACTGATGTAACAAACATTTTTGCCTTGTCTCCACGCAGGCTGAGGCCAAGTCATGCCCAAACACCTTTTTTTTCCCCCCTCTCTTCTTTTACCCTTGCAGAGTCTGTTAAGGCTAACTGGACTTTTTAAGTGGCCCCAAAAGCATAGATGTGATTCACCTACTCTGAATGGATTTTCCCACTCAACGCCATTTCATGCCAGGAGGAGAGAATATTGGGTTTGTGATGGGATTAACAAACTATTCTGGTACCTCAGTGAAACCACTGTCACACAAAGAATTTGGCCAGGATACAGGGGTTAACCTGCAGACTTCATGAAAAATGCTGTAAAATCTTTAAAGAAGAGATATTAGTTTTTTATCTCAGCCAAAAGATGTCACAGGCTTTCTGACAGAGTTTTAGACGGATTGTCAAAAGCCAGCAAGTGGGACACAATAAGCACAGGGGCTTAAGTGGACTACAGCCAGCACGAATCTCGGTCACAGTGTCCCTTGGCACCGTGACAGGAAAATGTGGTGGCTCAGCACAGAGGACTTGTGTTAGTTGGACACAGTCACTCTAAACGTGGACTAGCAGGGTCTGCTTTTTCCTTAGGCTGCTTTCCAACCAAGGGTTCACGGGTCCCAGGTTGCAGTAGGTGAGCCTTAGAGGGGTCCAGGGCCCTGTGGCTGCAGTCCATGCATGACATACGTGATGGGGTTCAGGGAACCATTCCCATACAGCACCTTTGTTGTTGCAGGCAATCCATTTCACGTTGGGGGCAAAAGTGACCTCTCGTCCAATGAGGTAAGTGAAAACCCGGACCTGGGAACAAGAATGCAAAGATAGAGGAATAAGGCTGCAGTGTGCTACCAAATCCAAATGGCTGAGGTTTAGCATTCTGCTATGCGCTGGTGTGAATGCTTATTTGTGGTGCATAGCAATAGCTCTGCCTTCACACAGGGACAGGAGCCTCTTACTCCATTTGTTTTGCATTTTGTGGGCTGGAACTTGATTTCCAATTATGATTAGCCCAGAAAGCCCAGTAGCACCCGAGGTCATCTGAATAACAAGGCAGAAGTGCAAATTCTGTTTGATTTTATGATAGCAGCTCTGCCAGGCACTCAGCAACCACACGCAGAGAGGTTTATAGCTCACAGGAATCCTTTACCCAGGAGAACAGCTGGCTGCATGAATCATTTAGAGAAAGCTTCACCATTTCTCTTGTGTTTGACCAACAACAAAAGAGCCAATCCTGAAATAAACTGCTTTAACAGCCCAATGCTCTGGCCTCTCAGTAGGCTGCTTCTCTCTCCCTTAGTGCATTGCTGCTAGCTGGGATGAGGTAAGCAAATAAATCAGGAGGGTTTAGGATGAGCCCTGCTCTCTTCTACTTTCACAGTCTGCTTTGCTCGTACAAGCCTGTAATCATAGGCCTCAAGGTAAATAGGACTGGAAGGCACCTAGAGAGGTTGTCTAGGCCATTCTCCTGCTCACTATAAGAACTGGTAACAGCCAAACCTTTCCTAAACAGCACCAATTATAAACAGCCTTGGATGGGATTAAAATTCTTTTTTTAAATTATTTTAAATACTCAGCTTAGTCCTTATCATTTTGTCAGGAGAATGTTTTGATTGTCGCACCTTTAGAAATCAAAGTGTATGAAAATACAATAAATCTTCACTGAGCTGCAGATACCCATTTGTGATCCTACCACCTCTAAAATCACCGCAGCAGGCTCCTGCCTGGCTGCTTTGCTTGTGTTTACAGCTGCATGCATGTGGGTATTGAAGGATGTGAATGCTCAGCTCTGCCTGACATCCTGGCTCATGCTCTTCCATTCCCACCATAGCAGGATAGCACCTTTCCTCACCCTTTTCATTTAGCACTTCCCAGACAAACCTTCCGATCTGGCCAGTTGTACTTTTCAAACACAGCTTCATAATCCTCCACTGCTCCGTCTGTGATCAGCATGATAGCTTGGTTACACAAGCCTCCTTGACCAGCCTCTCTGAACTGCAAACAGAGAGGAAGAGCATTAGTTACCTCTGCACGGTCTGTTTCTGTGTAACTGCAGCCTATTTGTTCATGGTGGGCCAGATCCTGACTTCCTCTTGTAAACCTCACACTGTGCTCAGAAAAAGCTCTGCTTAAATAAGGACCATGTTTGTATTCTGCATATAATTGTTTTATTTACACAGCCCTACCTAGCACAAGTAGGCACAGGAGGCTTTACAGAAGTAAAATAATGAGGAAGTAAGTGTTGTGGAGGAAGGGTGCGACTCCCTGCTGCCTCACATCTTACAGTCACATCCGTTTATGCAAACAACTATAGGCTGACCATAAACACTGCAATTCTGATTTGACAGCAATAACTGTCACTTTTTATGGCAGAAAACATGACAGGAGGAGGAAATGAGACTCATTATTTCAGGGCAAATCCATCAATCTGCCAAAAAATAGCAGAGAAAAGCAGGAACATATGAAAAAAAAAGAGCATTACTGCCATCAGGGCTGAAACAGGTTATGAATGTGCCAAATAAAAAGGCCATACACTATAATGACAGATCATCTGTTATCTGTGCATAAGTGATATTTAATGTAGAGTGGAGGTACTCTGGGACTTTGGTACAAACATTGATGTGCTCCCAAGAACACATGAAGAGGTGTTGAATGGGCATTGAAAAAGCCAGACCCTGCCTGTTCAGCCAGGAAAAACAGCCTTCAAGTGCTGCTTATCTCCTGCTCCTGTCTGCAGAGCCATTTGCCTCTCGGTTCTCTTGAGCTGGTGTACCTGAGAGCACAAGTGCTTTATGCAGCACCAACACAGGTATTGAATTAGCAGTCATCACAGGAGGTAGCAGAGGCCATCAAAGCACAAAAACAGTTACTTTGCTGCAGCTCCTAGCTCAGTGTCAGCATGTGCTCCTCCTTGCAGAGCATCTCACTGCTTCTGAGCGTGGAAAAATCTAATCAGCAGAGGAGGATATGGAAACTGGTGCAGAGTAAAAGAAACACAGAAAGAGCAAGATACGACAACTCTGCACACAAGATTAATGAGAGGCAATGGCGTGAGCTAGAGAGCATATGGAAGCCTAACTGAAGGGTGACTAATGTTATATCAAACACAGAAGCAATTTTAAACTGGAGAGGATAGTTATATCTTATAAATGAGGAAAAAGGTATCCAAGTTGCAAGACTAATTGCATAAAATGAAAGCAAGCACTGGGTGGGAGGATAAGACCACAGGATGTAAACTGGGACTTTATAGACGTTTTAGGGTTCAATTAACAAGTCCCTTCTGGTTCGGTAATGCTTTGTTAGGACAGAAAGCAAATGTCTTTACTAACACAGATGGTACTGTGGTTCCACTGCAGATTAACATCATGACCATGGATACCTGGTGCTAATATCACCATAATGCCTCCTTCCATGGCTATTTATATTATCAGTCCTTCCTCCTTCAACATTACTCTCAATATCACCAAGTATCTGTTACTCTACTGCAGTACGCATGGATTCACCAGCTTCTGAATGAGACCACAAGTGTGAACCCATCTCTCCCTGTTTCATGTATCACTGACCAAGTGATACATGGTACAAGTGATCATGAGAGAGAAGGATGGTGTAATAAGGTCATTCCTAACTAGCTGTTCTTAGGCAAAACATCTGTGTGAATTACTGAATCAGGATGAGGTAGTTGGACATGCTCTGCCTCTTTTGTGTCACCACATTGAGAGGGGAGACAGACTTGCTCCCCTGTTGCTGTGGTCATACCAACACAACAGTAGGGATCTCCTGTGTTTTCCCTACGGAGTCCCCAAAGTCTGACATTTCCAGTTGTCCAAAAAGCTCCTAAACCTTGTACCATGAAAAAACCCATCGGTGCCAGCTAGAGGGTAACTGGAGCTCCAAAATGGGTCAGAATACATGTCCCCCCTTCAGCAAGGAGACTCAGGGCAAAGGCTGAGGGTGCACAATGGGAACAAACATAGGATGTGCTTAGATGCAAACAAAAGGGGAAAAGCAGTTGATAGCTGCATGGGATTCTGCTGCAGATCATCAGGTAGGAAAAAGACAAGGAGTCTCAAGTGAGTTATTTCTAGGGCAAATTAACAGAGAGAAGGGCTAGTGTGAGCATCCATTAAGGAGGCATAGGATTATGATGGTGCAGGAGATACTGTCAGAATGAGGTTTAGATCACAGATCTGTGAACCTTGTAGTTACAAAAGCAACTTATTCCAGTCTGTTGCAATCTACAACATATTTTGTTTAGATAATAGTTAAATTAACACTTAATTAAGGTCACCCACCATTTCAAACTACTTAAGATCTCTCTTCATGTAGCTTACTTCAGACCTCATAATACTGAGATACTGAGAAATTAGATGCTGTATCAGAACCAGCAATCTCCTAATTACAGGAGTAGATGATATTTTCAACAGGGAAAATGAGATCATCAGTGTCATAGAAATAGAGATTAAAGAGACAGATTTAGAAAACAAATGAACAAGAGGTAATCCCTGGTTTTTAGGTTCTTTTGTGGCTGGCTGCAGCTGTAGCAAATGATCTGACAGCACTCACATCAGGCTCTGAGCATAATTCCCTGCTCTGACTGAAATTTCAGGAGCATGAAAGAATGGGAGAACAGGAACAAGATGTCTGCTGAACAGATGCCTGAATAGGTGCAGGCTAGAGCTGCAGTTGGCAAATGAGATGGAGTTATGTATTCTCCCATATAACTTTGGTTGTATTGCTAGGAGCAACAGGCATGATCTAATTAATTCAAGGTCAGTCTCTTATACTCCCTTGTTTGCTCACTGTCATTTACTTTGCAGTTACAGCCTGGCAAAAGAGTTACTAGTGAAGCAATAAGAACATCAGCATAACTCAGTGATGCACAGGCACACATGAGGATTATACACATCAGGCCAGATGACTGAGCAGCCCCTCTTCATCTTCTTCTGCCCCATTCTTATACGGACCTGCCTCCAGAGTGGCCTCTGGAATTACTGAAAATTCAGACTTAGTGGAAAGTGTCTTATAGGTAGAAAATTAGCTGAAAAGAAGGAAACAGAAAGCTAGTGAAGAACAAATGAGAGATGGCATTAAACAAAACAGCATAAACTGGTAAACAGGAAATCTTGAGCTTTGCATATCCTGAAAAGTTTGCTGCAGAATCCAGGTCCATAAAAAATGTGAATGGAATCAAGAAAAGATTTCTAAATGTTCAGAGAAGAAACAAGAAAGTGAGTAAAAAGAGTATGTTGCCAGATGATAAAAACCAGAGGGAAATGGTCAGGCAGAGATGCTTTATAGCCATCATACTTCATCATCAAAAAGACAATATTGTAATGGCTGGGCACACACTGAAGTGATAAGAGACAAAGAAAAGAATGAATGAATTACAGGCAGGGTCACAAAGTGGTAGGGTTAAAAAAAAGTTAATTGAAAGCATTTGAATAATCTCTGCTCAGCCGGAAGGGAAAGAAGCAGCAGGAAGGGAAAGAATTGCAGAAGGTGTTGCTGAACTACTTGCCTCATGGGCTGAGGCCTGACTACAGCTGAGATCCTAAAGGACAAAGCAGGAATCAATAGAAAACATGTGCTACAAGAAGGGATTAAACTAGATGGGTAAATTGTCCCTTAAACATTTAGCACATTGCTAGAAAAATCAGTAACATGGTCCTCTTGCGAGTGTGCAAATTCCATGCTTCCTCACAGGAGTGGGAGATAAGAAGCCACAAACTCCTTTGCTTACTTTCATCAGCAGATGGGCTCATTCTTCTCACGACACTAGTTTGCTCAAGTTACACAATTTTACATTTTGGTGAAGTCCAGTTTGTTAGCAGTTTCACCATTTTCTTTTCACCTATAGCTATTTTGGAGTGACTTCAAAATGTATGTAATGCCTGAGTTCAGCTGCCAGTCAAGGTACCATTAAACCAGCTTGGTGTTAAGATCCAAGGTGGGCTCAGAGAGCAAAACTTGGGATTTCTTTTCCTGCATAGGGTCAGAAAACATCAGCTTTCAAAGTCCCTATTTAGTCTGAGAATTATCCCGAGAAAGGAGGAGCCATAAGTCACAGATTTTATATAATCTAATATATTTATATCATCCTCTTAGGCTTAGGGTTGCGTTTGCTTATGTATATATGTACTCATGTATCTTTGGCTCGTCTATAAAAATATATAACTATTTTTACAATTGATGGACATTGGAAAGGCTGGTCAGAGGCTCAAATACAGAACAGGAGGCTGAATATTGGCAAGAGAGGAATACCGCAGAGGCAGATCAGCTGGATAGGAATTAACAATGTGAGAGTGTCTGAAGAAATGTAGCTGTTGTCTTACATTGTGTTAAGAGGACTATGGTGTGTAAAACAAGGAAGGTGATTATTCTGCTCTGCTTAGCACTTGATAGCTCTCAGCTGCAACACTTACATACTGTTGGGACGATGGTGTTTCAGGGAAGGCAGCCCGAAAGCAGCCGTGAGCAGAGCAGCAGCCAGAACAAAGGGGTATAAATCCTACAAGAAAAGGGTGAGGGAACAAGACGTGCCAAGCTTGTTGAAACAAAGAGAAGACAGCAGTGAGAGCGACTAAAACTTGATAAACAAGGAAGTAGCTCACTTGACAGAACTTTGAAGCACTCTACGAATGTACGCTCAAGACCACAGTTTCCCTGGCACGGATATTTTATTGAAACCACTTGGTGTGTGGCTAAATTGGAATAGAGAGTTTAAGTGGTTTATTGAGCATGACAGAGAGGGGCAGGGGAGGCTCTGGCTAACTGTTCTCCTGAAGCTGTTCTGCAGATTGCATCACAGATTAAAATATACCCTGTCTACCCCAGAACATAATGGAGGAAAACATAGATGGTGAGAGACTGTGCTCTTCTGCAACCCCTCTCTGCTACTCATACCTCACTGAGCAGGTCTCTAGTGGGCTATTTATTCCGCAAGCAATTGGACTGAGGAAAATTACCAGGGAAATGTTGTAATTGCTTTCATTACAGATATTATTACTGGTTGTCTGTTGTAATCAGCAAAGCCTGTTTCATCAGTGTGATGTAGCAATTTTTGTTTTCTTTCTTTTGCGTATGCTCCTGTGAACAATAACAAGACAGTCTGTGAGTAACAGCTATGACTACAAGCTTAGAATGTGAATGTTGTCTGATGGGAGGGGGGTGGCCAATTCCACCAAAGTTCCCCTTTCTCCTGTCTGCATGACTGCAGCAGCACAGATTTATTTCAGGGCACACTGACAGACACCCTTTCCCTCCCCTACTGCTGATAGAGATCTAAGAATGTCTATGATTTCAGAGAGTATGTAAAGCATATGAGCACTTGGCAAGTGATACCCTTTTGCCTTAAGCTGTGGTACTTGCAGAGCCTGGGGTCCTCCAGCTGGTGGTATCAAGACATTCTCTAGATGAGCCCTTAACTACAGAAGCTGCAGTTTGGGGAAGGCTGTTCTAGAATTGCAGACATAGTTCTACACTTGCATGCCTATGTAGGTGCATGACGCTGCTTGCACACTGAGACACCACCTCTGTCTCTTCTGAATGTATCCTGGGTTCAGCTGTAGCAGTCATTTTTCTCCTTCTTAGTAGCTGGTGCAGTGCTGTGTTTTCAGCTTTAGCCTGAGAAGAATGCTGACAACACACTGGTGGTTTTAGTTGTTGCTAAGTAATGTTTACTCTGACCAAGGACTTTCTCAGTCTCATGCTCTGCCAGAGAGGAGGGGAAGCCGGGAGGAAGCAGAGACAGGACACCTAACCCACACTGGCCAAAGGGCTATTCCATACCACAGCACGTCATGCCCAGTATAGAAACTGGGGGGAGTTACCCAAAAGGCCCAGATCGCTGCTCGGGTCAGGCTGGGTATCGATTGGTGGGTGGCGAGCAGTTGTGTCCTCTCCCCTTGTTATTCCTCTTATCATTATTATTGGTAGCAGTAGTGGTTTGTATTATACCTTAGTTACTGGAGAGCTGTTATCTCAACTCGTGGGAGTTACATTCCTTCGATTCTCCTCCCCATCCCTCTGGGAGCAGGTTGGGGAAGAAGCGGGGAGTGAGCGAGTGGCTGTGTGGTTCTGAGTTACTGGCTGGGCTTAAACCACGACAGAATGTCATCAGGCAGACAGAAGTCCTGGGATGAAGTTGCAAAGTGCTACATTAGGTATTGAGAAATCATCTTTTCCTCTGATGGAAAAATTGTTTAAATATTGTGATTTATACAACACAGGCCTATATAGGCTCTGGATCTTTGTTTTTTAAAGTTCAAGTTAATTTTGCCATAAAGTTCAAAGGTACATGTAGATAAATCTAGCAGACCTATAGCCCATACAATTGTTCTAGGTTTATATCATTACTGCTTTCCTGGTCATCTCAACTATCTTCCTCCAAAGATGCTGAAGCATTACTACTAGGAGTGCTGCCAGCCTGTTACTGCATTGCCAAGGCTACACCACACTCTTTTCAAGTTGCCATTAATTCCATCACGTTTCTGTAATCACTGACAAGCACAGCTCAGCCACCACCATCTCTGGGTTTGACTCTGATGGTGTTTGCACTGGCATAAATCAGGAACAGCATTACCATACCCAACAAAATCCTTAAACTTTCAATTTGCAAAATAAGTTATACTGAAGAATCGTTCTCAGGGTGTCAATATCTCTAGCACATTACTTTTAACATCAATGCCATCATTACGGTCACTAGCATCGCACCGTATACATATTTTTGTCAGCCCCAAAGACATTGGCATCTTTAGGCCAACTACACTAAAGAGAGGGCCACAAGGAGGGGGTTGCATGTGTGTGTTCAGCTGGTTCTTCATCCTTTTTTGTTAACCTTCTTTAAGAAACAGAGTTAAATTTTATGTTTACCTCCAGGCTACTGAAGTCACAATTGTTCACATAAGGCATTGAATCATTTATGATTCTTATCACAGGACATGATCAGACTGGCTGATTAATTCTTCTGTACCTGAGATTTCTTCCCCAAGCACTGACACTCAAAGTGACATTGAAATAAATCTGAAGCCTAAGAATAGTCTTTCACATCTTCATCATCATCTACTTATCAAGGCTCACATTGTAATAACATTACTTACGACTAGAACTGTCACCCTCAGCTGATCAGTTATATTTTATTGCCACCATCTATAACCAAGGTGCCTGAGCAATGCCCAGTCATGTGGCTCATTAAGGAAGCACTCATGAGGCCACAGCCTTGCGGGGATTGGCAGCCTCAAGGTGCCATGCACAAACTGACACCTCTAAAGTACAGGGTCACCCCTGCACACTGCTTGTCACAAAGTCAGGGACTGTGAGATGAGCTTATGCCGCCTCCCCCCTGCTGCACTGTGAAGGATGTGCTAAGTCATTAGATGCAGAGGGGAAAGTAGGGCTGGGCAGGGACACTTGTGCCCAGCACAAGCATCAGCACTGACTCTTACCTCCCTCAGTATTTTGAAGGACTCTGTCAAAGCCTTGTTCACAGTGCCCACTCCTTTTGCCTGCAGTTCATCCACCAGCTGCTTGAAGTGCTGGCAAGAAGAGGGGGAAAAAGGCAGCAATGAGTTGCAGGCAGGGTGTTCCCTTCAGCAGAGGGAGGAAAGGGTAACCTGGAAAAATCTGTGCTTTGGGCTCCTGATCCTTCACTGCTGCTGGCAGGGCAGTCCAGCACTGTAATGGGTGGAGGTGGCAAAGTCAAATGGTGGTTCCATTGGCAGCACCATCACGTTGCACCATTGCCCAAGCAGCCAGAGCAGGACTGCATTTCACAGTCTACCTGCTGTGGACCATGGGCAGCCCATGAAACATCATGCAAGGGACAAAACTATTAGGAATCAGACTTTCCCTTACCTACCCCTTCAGGAAAACAAACAAACGAAACATTCCTGTGCATGCAAGATCAACAGGACTGGGGAAAAACAGGCATTGTTCTGATTGTAAATGAAACCCTCAGAGAGTGCTCTCTGCAACATAGAATCCAAAATGGTTAGAGATCCTTTGGAAAATGCTGCAGGTGACATCACCCTCTGGAGTCATACTCTGAAATCCAGGGCTAAGAAATTTGGAGAGAAATCTGGTGGTTGAAGACACGGAGGGATGTGCTACATCTGTGGTATTGGTACAGAGAAAAAGGAATTAAAGAAAACCAAACAGTAAGAAATGCTAAAACTACGAGTCAGCCCAGGGGGCGGTGGAGCAGCTGGATGCAGGCTGGCCACCTTGGGGCTGCCGAGCCATCCTGGATGACAGCAGCAAACCCCCTCATCAGAGAAAGCTTGCTGGCAGTCCACCGTAGCAAAGGATCAGGCCAGGCTGAGAACATGTTCACTAGGAAAGGGCTGATTTTCCTCCTTTGAAGGCTGAGGATGTGGGGTTTCAAAGGTGGAGACTCTTTTCCCTCTGCATGCTGTTCTTTCATAGCAGTCTGGGCTGGGTCCACTCAGGCTCTGGCAGTGATCTCTTGTGACACAGGGAAGCTGGTTGCTGCTGGTTAGCTAGCCAGCTGACCCCATGTTACAGTGCCTTTGTGTAAGCAAAGGTGAACCACAGAGCCAGCACGTACCACCGAACTGGTGCTTGCTTCTGAAATGCAGCCCCACACACTTCTGGGAGATGGTTGTTTCTTGTCCCTGGAGTTTCATGCCTTAGCACCTTAACCTCATGTACTTCTTACATTAAGAGAGTTACCTTAATAACACAGGTAGGAGCCTGATACTCACCTCTCTGTTATCCCTGTCTGCTTGGACCAGGATACCCTTAAAACAGGGTTCAATAAAATGCACATAATCATTATACTGCAAAGAGAAAATGAAAAGAAAGGGGCAGTGATTGGAATAAAATGAGCTCATGTCCTAGGAGGATGTTCAGAAAACGGTATGGAGCATTATACCATTTTATACGTGTTTCCCTTAAGAATTGTTTGTAGTGATCATGCAAAACAATTTTGACAAATCTCAATCTCTTTGAATAATGCATTTATTATGGTGCTTTGCTGAGTTCTATCTGGGTATATCTACAGATAGAAAATGACTTTCTTTTCACTCACACTGTAGGGATTTCCTCCACATAAGCTTATGCTCTTGGCCTTGCTTCTAGCACTATTTGCACATATTTTCGACTTCTGGAAACTCTGTGAGTCTCCTGTCAAACCTCACAAGTCATTTTGTATCCTAATGTCCAATGCCTCTGGTGCATGGCTGAATGACAACATTTTAAGTTACCACATATCCACCAAACTGTGATAATTAGTGGGGTATATTCCTCTAGCCTGATACTTATGCGAGGTAAAACATGCCAGTATAAACCTTTTCCTGCAAGGTTCAGAAGAGCATCATTCCTAAAAGCGTGGCTAAGAGGCTGCTAATGCTCAGCTTAGGAGCTTAGGTCAGGCTATAATGTGTCTGAGCCGGTAGGTTCTCGGTGTGAGTACAGTAAAGGAGTATATATTATATGCTCTTTTGGGGGTTGTTTTGATGAACAGATGATATTTCAAACTCGTTAATGGCTTGCCTCCATTTTTCTGCCAACACTGTTCACTCTTCCAACTATCCAGCCATATAAAGACAGATCTTTACTGGAGTTTCTAAGTAACTTACACAATAACAAGCTATTGGCAAAAAGTAGACTTTATATCTCAGTGACTGTGCCCTGGCAAGCTTGTATAGAAAGGAGCCCCGGGAAAGAGATTGTGCTTGAATTAGCTTTTAAAATTAGGAGACAGGCAGCTGTTTGGCTTTAACCTGGCATCAAAGCCCATGGTCTTGGCCTGGATCATGGAAAAGCTTTGCTTTCTGTGGTCAGTAGTGCTGGTTCTCTGTGGGTAACCAGTAGATCCTCAACCTGTCCAGGACTTAAAAGGGGAGATAGTAACACTGAAGCAACCCGACCAAACTCCATGCAGACCTGTGCAAATTGGACTCGATTGCAGCCTTGCAGGATGCTGGCTCACAAAAAGGTATACGGTGGTAATTTTCTAGCCTGGAAACATTATTCTGAGGATTATACTGCGACTGAACCCTAACACAGTATTACACTGTGCTATGCTAGGTGAATTTATTAGCTCTGGTGTCTTTCTATACCACTTTATCTGTTGCACTCACATCCCTAAGTAAGCAAAAAGATGCAGCTGACATCCTCCATAGAGGGGGGTGAGATGACTTAGGAGCCACCCCACTGATCACAAGAAGCCAGCTTCCCAAAGGTAATTGCTTTTAATCCACCATCCAACATAGGTACTAAGTGTTGTAGTTACACCACTGTAGTGCCTATAGTTTGCTAAGGGGACTGAAGAGCTGGTATAAGGCACAAGGAAGACAACTTCTCACTGAAAATGGGACATACTTACTGCAATGATGTTGACAAAGTCATTTTCTCCCAGAGTATCTAAAATGGTGGTAATGGTGTGTTTGGCAATGGTCATCCGCAGGCCCTTCATGCTCCCACTGACGTCCACAATGATGACAATGTCCTTGGGAGAGGTGGCCGCTTGGATGTACCTTTATAAAAGAAGAATCCAAGGAAGTAGGGCGAGCGTACAAGGAGGAGGAATGCTGGGCATGCTGCTGTCTCATGATGGTAACAACAACAAAACGTGTGCCACAAACACAGCCGTCTGGCAGGGTCAGACTGGGCATCCAATGGGTCCCTTCCTGCCAACCTGCCTCTCCCACCAGCCCCAGCATCTCACTTCCCACATTGGCAAGTGCTGGGCCTGCTGCAGACATATGTCCAGATACAGCTGAGAGTGACAATTGCTAAAGCCTCCTTTAGCCATGCTGAATAGACTGAGTAAATACCCCACAACTCTGGAGTCTAAACAGCCCCATCCCTCCAGTTGCAGAATTATAAGGAGGATGGGACAGAGGAAGGACAAACTAGTGGTGATTTTCATGTGGCACATGTTAGATAACATAAGGAAAGCTGGAATCGTCAAGTGGTAGGGCTTCTAACCTGTTACTGCCTTTGTTTATGTACCCCTCATGTCTTGCAGAAGTAGTATGGGATAGTAGCTGCTGATCAGCAACTCACCAAGGTGTCACCTTGGAAAAGAGAGAGGAAGACTGAAAAGTGCTTTGGCCAACTCTCTCCAAAACTCTTACCAGCCACGATTCCTGCAGTCAAAGGAGATGACTCCGTTCTCATCTGGTAACCACTTTATTCCTGAAGGGAGCAGCAAAAGGAGCAATCAACACACAGCGAGGCAGGCATCTGCTCCCTGCTCCCCAGGGAACTTCTGCTGAGACCTAGCTACCCTGCAGGGGCACACAAGTCTGGCCAGCAAAAGCAGTGGCTGTTCTGTAGAAATACAAGCAGAGCTGCCTGGTCTTCAGCAGTCCTAAGTAAACTCTTTATTAGTTATCTATATAAATACGTTAGATTCTGGGGAACAGTTGCACTTACTTTGAGCTTTTTGCCACTTTGATGTAGTTCTCAACATCTTTTTCTCCCCGGCAGTGATTGAGAGCATAAAAAAGCAGCAACGGAGACAGGAATGTGACCCAGATTCCCTGCTAAAGGCTCTGTTCACAGTCATCTTTACCTTCCCCTTCCACAACACATGACAGGTCACAGAACAAGAGCATGCAGCCACATGAAGGGGCCACCAGGCTACAGCTGTGGAGGATCCTGGGGGCTCCTCCAAACACAGGCCCTCCCCTCTTGCTCCACGACCTTACATGCAGCTCTCAGCTTGTGAGTGGATAACAAGTCAGACTGATCAGCTGCATCTGCCACGTGTGGCCTCAGAGATGGAGAGGGGCTGTGGCTGCCTTTAAAAAACAGAGGAGCATGAAGCAGGGAGCCCTCCTGCAGCACCCACACTCCACCTAAGAGATGGGTGCTGCCATGGTGCTTTGTGAGCTTTTTGGAGCACCTGTAAGTAGACTCCTCTGGGATTGCAAGAGCAACATGCTTGGGGGGCTGGTCCACGTGGGAAAAAAGGGGGTTATGCCTGTCATGAACACTATTCCTTCATGATAAGTGGCAGCAGTGCCATGCACCGAGTATTTTTCTCACTGCACCCTGCCCTTCATGGGGCCACACTGCCCTCAACCTTCCCAGATTGAGCTCTTCCATGACACGGACCCTGTCCTGCAAGACTATTACATTGCACTGAAAGAGTGAAGCTGATCTCTGCTCTGTTACCTGGGTAGAGCCTGAAGAATCCAGTGGAGCTGCCAAAGTACTGCCAAGTCAGTGTGGGATCCCTTTCAAAGTTGTCCACAAAAATAGGATTCAGGGCTTCTGACATGTAAACACCATTCAGGATATCCGGGTCTGTGATGAAAGAATAGAAAATGGGGACAAAAGTGCAAAAGAGGCGAGGTCACCCTCCACCTCCAATGGAGGGAGATGGGAACAAAGGCAACCCCAGGAGAAATGCAGCCTTGTCCAAAGCTTTATCATTGAGCAGGTTATTGGGTGCATCACTCGAGTAAATCCTGGAGGCCAGGTCACCACTGGCCACTACAGGTCATCTCAGCTTGGTCATGCGGTGTTATCCCCATTTCTTTTTCCAGCCTTGTCTGCCCTTGGGCATTACGTCTGCTTGGAAGAGGGCTCCAGGAGACCCAGAAAACCAGCACTGTGCTGAGTACAACTGGCCACACCACATAGGCAGGACTCAAGAGTGTTTAAATTTATGTTAGTTATAATTACCTAAAACAGAGGAGCTCTAGGATTTTATGCCATTTATCTCTCCTCTTTTCCCCAACAATTCTTTCTTTTCCTACCCTTTCTTTTACAAAGCCTGAGCTGTCCTCTCTTGCCCCTGATCTCATCAGAATCAATACAAAGTTGCACGCTTGCAAGAATTCATAAGAGGCAATATATATTTGGTGTCTGTGTTGACTCATTGCCTCAGGAGACCAAACACAGCAGCAGCAATAGAAACAGGGAATTATGAGACTAGTCATTGTAGGATTAAATGTATTAATGTTGAAAGGGATATGGGGCTTTGACCTAGCACTTCCTGCTTAGTCACTATACTAAAGGCAGTTTTGGTCAAAATAGGGGAAAAATTGAACTGTGACTCCCCCAGGGATGAGGCCAAAGTAACTTATGCATGAAGGGAGCCAGAAGAGCTGTGGAGAGCCAGGCTTGCGGCAGTTTGCAAGAGAGGGAGCAAGTACTGCCAAGCACTGGTCCTGGCATGAGCCCTGGGCATGGAAGTGTCCCTCCTCCTCCTCCATCTCCTACTCATTCTCCAGTCATAGCAGCTGGATGGTTTGTATCAAGCTGTAGAGGCCAGTTGGGCAGTGCCCCTCTGCTGTCTCTGACAGCATCCATTTGGCCATCTTTTCCCATATGCTGCTCTAGGCATCAGCCCTCTTTGTGTAGCTCTGCTGTAACTGCCCACAGCCAGCTCTGCTGTTGGCTCTATTGTGAGCAAGATTTTAGTGTCTGCAGCTGTCAGACCAGATGGAACTGATTGAAAATCATGGGAGAAATAGAACTCCCTCTATTGTCCCTCTAAATAATGTAGCAGTTGTGAGCACAGTCACCAGTGCCTGCCCTGTCTGGTCCTGAAGATTGTAAACGAGCTCCATCTATGAGAGAAGTAATGGCACTTTTGCTAAAATGTATGCAAGGGGAAGAGCTGGTGGGGAGGCAGGGAGGGAGCCTGTTCAGGCAGCTTTGAATGGTGGCCAAAAGGAGCAGTAAACTTAGAACAGTCGCAACTGGTATCTCATCTCGCATATTCGGCAGTGTGCTGACCAGCATGGAGATGGAGCAGGTTCTGGTGTGTAGCCAGAGCGGTGGATGTGCAGGGGAAGAGTCTGGGCACAGATGAAGCCATGTGAGCCTTGGTACCTCTTTGTGCTTCTGCAGCTGCCAAAGAGCCAAAGGCTTGCTAAGAATGGAGAATAGCCCAGAATAGTCATGTCCCGCTAGCAGTCATTAATTACCCTGCCCATGGCAAGAGGGTTAGAACTAGATGGTCTTTAAGGTCCCTTCCAACCCAAACCATTCTGTGATTCTATGATTCTACCCCCAGTCCCTACAGATATGCTCATTCGGCATTAAAAGTGTCCCTGTGAGATGTTAATGACTCATAACACAAACGTACTTGAGGTCTAAATTCTCAGCTGAAATCAATGACATCCTCAACACCTGAAGACCTTGATAGATCTGACTCTTTGTACAGAGTGACAATTGCCAATAAATTCACATCACTGTGTTTCACAGCATCTTTGGTTGGCTAGATGAACCCTAGGAGACTATACTGCTTGCCTAAGATGGAGGACTGTCCATCATTAGAGGTCTTTCAAGAGCAGATTATACCTAAGCTGTATCACAGTGACAGACCACAGCACAGACATAGCCATGCCTTGGGACAGTATCTTTCCAGCCCTGTTTTCTTTTCTGTCAGTTGTGGGGTTTTTTTTCTATTCCCATCTTTTCCTTCAGTATTATGACTGGTTGTTTCCACAGCAACCTAGTAGTAGTGAGAAAGTAGAGGCCATTACCTTTGTTGTAGACGTTGGTGGGGAGCTGGATGTCACTGTACGTTGTGTTCACCAGCAGGTTATTGAAATGCTCATTTGGCTCCAAAATGAATTCATCTCCAAGCTCCACATAATTATCATTTTCATCCTTATCATTAATTAGGAGAGAGTTGTAGTAATCAAACTGTTGATGAGGACAATGGAAAAGAGAAAAGCAACAAGAGAGAATAAGACAGACTATTACCTGTACTGCCTGAAAAACCCAAACCCTCTAAAACATAAAGGACACCTGGAGAATTTGGGCTTCAAATAGGATCAAGATGGGCAGCAAACAACAGCTATTACCAACTGAAAATTGTCAAGCTGCCCAAACAACGGTTTCTGACCAGTTTCTCATTGTCAGATGCCCACATGACTGAAAGCATGGTCATAACCAGCAGCAGAAGAGCCACCTGAGAGCAAAGGGCCAGAGCGGTGAACTCCTGTGGTCCCTCAGATGTATTTAAGTGACTAGCCAGAGAGGTGGAGTGTCTCACTGGGTCTGCCTCCCAGATTTGCTACAGGGCATACCAATTCAGACCTTACTTGCCCTGTCTCTACAGCTGTCATTTACTAGAATGGACTCCTGATGTACATCCATCCAGGATTATCCCCTCTGTCACTCCAAGCAGCAGGCACTCATGAAGAGCAAAGGATAGAGCAGAAGGTGCTCACAGATAATGCAGTTTTCCCCTGTGAAGCCACTGGTGATTTAGCATCTATAGCCATTTTAGTATCTTCAGGACACTTTTCACCCTTGGATAATAGATGTTATTAAGATGTTTTTGTTGACTTTATCTGAGGGCAGGGGTTATTTAGGGCTTTATATTCAAGCACTAACAGCACTCAGGGGGTGTGAGTGATGTGTGCCAATACAGTCAAGTACTTCAACTCACCCATGACCCTTACTGTGAATGCAGTTAACCCAACTAGCATGACTGTACTGGGATTCTTAAATAAGGAGGTGAAAATGGTAGCTAGCTTGATTTCAAGAAGCATTTTCACTCCCACCCTTTCCCAACATGGAGAGGTGTACTTGCAAGGGTAGCCTGTACTTCTACTAATCACTCTGTGCTTGTACTGAGAACAGTGGACATTCTTCATCAGAGTTTTCATTCCAGTTCCCTTCACCAGCAATAATCCCATAGTGTGGCTACAACAGTTATTAACAAAAAGCCAATTAACCAAACAGCTTGGACAACACCAAGCTTTCACTTAACGGGAAGTCCTGTGAAGTGGGTGTCTGCAGGGTAGAGAAAAGATGATGGGAGCTGTTGTGAAAGATAGTGAGAAACTCAGCTCATTGGGATTAACAGTTTGCTGTGGGTATTTGTAACAGCATCCACCTCATCACTCATACACACTCAATTTTTAGTTCATTTTCCAGTCAAATAACCCACAAAGCTCCAACTAATTTGCAACAACACGTCACATAGTGACAACGTTGGTGTGCAGAAGTGTAATGCCAATAACATCACACAACCTAGTGTCTTCACAAATCCTTTCCCTCCCAGAGCCAAAGGGACTAATCTTCTTGGTGTTACTAGGTTTGGGATCTGCCAAGGGAGTCTCTTACACTAGTTTCTAGACAAGCTGAGTGTCCTGAAGACAAGGAAACTCCTAACTTGACCAGGAACCTGAGGTGGCTGGAGCAGCTAGGTCTGCCTTTTGGCTAGTCTCTCTGAGGATGCGTGTCATATTTGGTAACTGACCGGCATAAACTTACCTCCAGTGAGGAGTTGTACTCATGGTTCAGATCTGCATCTTCTGCTGCTTCCACCAACCTCTAATGCAAGCACATGGAAAGCAAGATGAGGGAGTGCTGTAAAAAGCCCTCCAGAAGCTCTTCCAGCTGTATCAGCCATTCACGCAGGTAGCGAAAAGACACACGACTGCCTCCTTTACCGCAACACAAAGTCATGGGGCTATAAACTTCCCTCTTACCCTCCTTTTCTGCTGACCTGTCATTCTGTGCTGCAACTTTACAGCTTGGAAGGTATATTCACAGCTATTTATTGCAAAGTATATTCACACCTACTTACTCCAGAGTCCCCACTAAACCCCTGAGCAGTCTTAGATATCACAGGACATATACAAACAGAAACATGTTGATTTAGAGAAAGAGCAGCCAGAGATATAATTTCATTTTCCACAAACCCTTCCAAAAAGCCATGGGAAAAGCATGGCAGACCCAGCCTGATGTCAGTATCTTGTCAGAAGAAAAGGCCTTGTGGGAGTCTCAGTCTGGTATTGTTACTGAGACAAAGACCATGACTTGAATTCATGTAGGGCTCAGCAATAATGTGGCCATTTATGGAAGGCAAAAATAATCAACTAATATTCTCCATTGTGATGCTTCAGGGCACTAATTCTCAATTGGTACAGACTGGGAAGGAATCCAGCTACACGCACACATGTTTTCAGAGTTGCACAATCAGCGACAGTCTCAGCAAAACTACTTTTTGCTCCTTCACAAAGGATAAGGCAATGCAAACACTGGAAAAGTCTGGCTATGAATTTAATGTTATGGGCCAAAGCTCTGGGTCTAAATATGCCCACATTTCACTTTGGGATTCAAATGATGTGTTTCTGGATGAGTTTTCCACATTAGACACCTTAAACAGTCAAGGCTCTGTGACTACAGAAATATGCTTTTCATAGTGGGTAAGTGTAAGGGAATATGAGAGATCCTTAGATGCAAGAAGTAAGAGGGGCCATAATGATGACTTGCTCTGATCTCCAACACAGCAACAGCTAGAGACCTCTTGCCACCTCCTCCACACTTCTCCATATACACAGCTGGAAATCCAAGCACTTTACTTGCAGCTTCTGTTCAGGGGCTGCAGAAATTTCCCTTGAGCCACACACACAGCTGAAACAAGCTACCAGTCTTCAATGGCCAGAGTGCCTTATGCAAAGGTGGACTTTCTCTTGTGAGAGGTGTTTCTTTCCTCTTTAAACAGCTCTTTTCTCCTGAAAGAGTATTCATTCCCTCATATTTGTTCCTAGACTTTGTTTGTATCTCATTTCCTACTTTGGGCTGAGGGAGAAGCCAGCATTCCCTTGTCTGAACGCCCACATCCTCCCACCAGTGTCTACTTAAAGCTCAGAGCGAGCAGCCAGCTGCACCAGCAGGCATTTTGTTAGGCAAGGAAGTCCTCATGCAACCTCTGTGCCCACATGCTCCTGGTGCAGGCAGGAAGCCTTGTGTCTACTGCTCTGGGGCTGACAGGAGAGGATTTCCTTTCTCTAGCCCTGGTGGTCATACCTCAACAGCTTCGACCTTCCTGCGGAGCATGCTTTCCATCTGCTCTGAGAACTTCTTCACCAGCTCCAAGCCATCCACCTCTTTGATCTTCAGTGTTGGCTCCACATCTTTGTACTTCTACCCAAGGGAAAGAAGAAAATCCTGCTGAGAGGAGGCTCATATGGAGACGGATGAATCTATTATTGTTAGCTGGGTATTATTGTCTTTGGTGAAGAAAGATGTGTTGAAAGAACTGGTCTGATTTATCACCTTCCACCATCTTTGCAGTTCTTCCCCTTTCAGGGTGTGTGCAGATCACTGGCCATAACACAAAGCATTTTGATTAAGTAAAAGCAATTGATCCAATTGTGAGCTTGTAACTGTTGAAAACAGCAGTGCACCTGAAGCTATTAGTGCCTACAAATGAGAGAGAAGCCAAAAAGGCTTTTGAAAACCTAAAATACACATTGTGCTTACATCCATAACAACATTGTATGTGTCCCATACCTGGAATTTACTTAAGGCAGACAGAAGGGCAAGGAACCGTATGCTGTCATTATATTGCCTCCTACATCATATGTGCTCTGGGTCAGTAGTGGGAGAGATGTTATGCTAGTGTAATGCCCTGTCCTCCCACAGTGCCATCCTATCTGCAGGGTAACTTATCATGTCTGCAGCAGGAAGGGTGTCCTCAGTGCTTAGGTGGGAAACTGACAAGGAAAGGTCAGTGAGACAGTTATGATGATACTTATTCAGCATGCATGACACACTTTGAGCCAAGAGCACCACAGAGGTAATTCCCAGAAACTAGGAATTACAAGTGTAACTATTTACTGCTGCCTCCACTGGGAGAGATGCTCTAATAAAGAGGATCTGGGTATGACAGCTTTAGAGATAACCCGTTTCTTCTGACCATGTTTCATAGAATCTAGGCATTAAAAACCCGAGAGTACTCCCAAACTGCCTCCCTAAATCTGCCCTTTCAAGACTGGATACAATGGCCTTTATTTCCCTTTTTCAAAATATCCCAAGCCTGACAGAGATAGGCAGAAAGGAAGAGTAAAAAAAAAACCTGCAAAAGGACACAATATGTTTAACTTATTGCAGAAAAGACAGAGCTTTCTCTCCCCAGAAATGTGGAAGCATGAAGGCAACAGAGACTGAATTTCCCTGGTCCCTCATCATCATTTCATCATAGAAGAAAAGGGCTGGTGACAACTTTGCATGTGTTCAGGGTGACTGAGTAGAGCTCCTTTTGTTCAAGAAGCTCACTGACCATCTGGGAGGGCAGCTGAACACAGGCGGAGTAAGAAATGCCTTGAGGATGGGGCAGTCTGAGGACATCAGACAGAAATAGCAGCAGCATCCAGCCTGCAGCAGGCATGGCGGGGAGGCTGCTTGCTCTGTCTGGCGTGATTAACAGCAAGGGTTTTACTGGATTAAATATGCCAGGCCTTGCATCCCCTCTGCTGTGGCTGGGTAGCCAGGACTGGCAGGGGAAGAGGTAGGGTTGAACACAAAGGTTAGCATAACCATTGCTGAAAGAGGGATGTGCAACAACAACCCCCCCGACAGAGGTCCCTGACTGCTGACAAGAACGCAGGACACAACCCAGCTGGTGCCTGTCCCATTTAGCTCTGTGTCATGGTTTCATTGTAAGGGAAGGGATCTCTGCCAGGCTAGGCTTTAATCCGGCCCTCCTCGGGGGGAGGAGGGTAATCTCTCCTGGGAAAGCTAGTAAAGGGGGGGACCAAACCAGCACGGGCAAACACGCACTTTACAAAGTGACCTGCTGTCGGTTACCTGGAGTCATATCTTGAATTAAAAAGAATGGGGCTTTTTACCTCTCAGTTATTGTTTAATGTGCTTTTGACACATTGAAAAGTAGATGTTAATAAGGTAAAAGTAATCATGAGCAATCATGAGCAGTCTGCTAATACTGTACACATGTCTCAGCCTTGGGAACTAGCCAGAAACGGGAAGGCAGTAAGAACAACCAAAAAACTTTCTGCAAAGTTTCAGTTGGCTGCAAGGAATATACCTGAGCTTTTTTCCCCCCTACAAACAATCCAGCAAACCATTTTCTATCTGTATTCCTGCCACTAAAATCTCCTGCTACTAATGAATATTCACTCCGACTTCCTAAAGGTAAGCAATGAAGTAATACCTGTGATTTCAATACTGTTACCAGACACCATGTCTGAAAGTATGCAGCATATGTCAACATAGGCGCTTATGGCCAACCAAGATTAACCTGCATAGAGTAAGTTTAGGGTTCAGGTTATCAGATCATTATAATTTACAGAACAGAAATCAGCTACAGACTAGGGAGGACTGGCTGAAAGGATCTGGTGTTGAAAAGGGGCCAAAAAGTTCTGATCTAACAGAAAATCTTTTCATATTCATCTAGTAATTAGTATTCCCTTAAAATAGCAGGAGCAATTCATTAAGATTCTCCTTCTGCAGTGATGGGGGTGGTGACTTAAAATTGGAATATCCAGGACCCAATATTCTAAGTTTTATCTGTGAACAGAGATATATCACCAAATATATTTTCTTGTTCCCACCTCCATGAAATTGAGTCCATTGGAGTACACAGTGTTGCATTACTCACTGCTAGTGAAACTATATTAAGAGTGTGAAAGACATTCCTTTCATCTTCACCCAGGAAAATGTCTTGACTGAACTTCTTTAACTTCTATTCTTCACCATGCAGTTATTTGTCATGCTTTCTAGTAACTACGTAGCTGGAGCCAACAGCCAAGCCCTGTTGTCCTTTCTCAGCCCTATCCACCAGGGAAGGGAGTCAGCACCTCAGCTCTAGAAGGAAGCAGGAGGCAATTCTCAGAAAACACTTAGAATGTATCATTTACATAGTAGATGAAAAACTGAAGATTGGGGTCTGCTGGTCTGCTGAAGCTGATGGCGTTCCTGCCACTTGGAGGCAGGCCCTGAGAAGCCCAGAACCACTGCGGTATCTTCCTGGCATGGCTGCCATTGGTGGCCCCAGGCCTGTGGTTGCTGCAGCAACTGTGGCAAACAGACCTAATAAAACGCAGGTTCCAGTTTTCTGTTCCATAGCTCTGGGAGATGCTACTGCCCTCCCTCTACTCAGCCTTTCCCATTGCCTCTTTATTCCAGCTGTATTGCTCTCAGCTGTCCTAGACTCCGGACAGCATTTTAATACAGATCCATCATCTCTGAGCCAGGTTTAAGCATACAAGCTTATCACAGAATCATAGAATGATTAGGGTTGGAAGGGACCTTAAAGCTCATCCAGTTCCAACTCCTGCCATGGGCAGGGACATCTTCCACTAGACCAGGCTGCTCAAAGCCCCATCCAATCTGGCCTTGAACATTACCAGGGAATTGAAGTGTCTTCATAACAAAGAATTTATTCCTGATATCTAATCTAAATTTACCCTCTTTCAGTTTAAAGCCATTCCCTCTTGTACTGTCACTGCATGCCCTTTTAAAAAGTCCCTCTCCTAATTATTTTAACTTCGGCTGCATAATAGTCAAGGGAATACAATGAATGCTTCAGCCATCAAACCAAAATCACTCTTCGGCTTCTGCTACCTTGATGAGGTCTAATTTGATGATATGCTGACTGCTTGGGATAGAGAAACACCTAGGAGGCTTTCTCAAAGCCCTCTGATCCAGGATGAGAACCTGCCTTTGTCAATTCAAGAGATGTCTACTGAACAGTAAAACCTGACAAGAAACTGACTGACTGGATTTGCAATGTGATGTTAGAATTCTTCTGGGCAAAATGAACAAAAAACCCTAAAGAAAACCAAACAAGCTCAAAGCCACAAAAGGAAGTTTATGCTAAATATTAAAGAGAAGGTCTACATTCAAAACATTCAGTAACTGAAAAATTATGGCTCTCAAAGCAACAATAAGCTAGTTACTTTGAGCCTATTAGGCACAAGGGAGCATGAAATAAAATATGGAAGGTGCTGTTATCTTTCAGTTTGTATTTCTGCAAAGGCAAAATGGCCATTGACTTAACAAGCAGGAAAGAAACATCTGGGCCTCTACACTGTTGCCCCTCGCTCCTCTGCTGATCTGTGCATACTCACATACTCAGAGAAATATTTAATGCGAGAAGTAATGGCCCAAAAAGAGGAAGGTGCCTGGAGAACACGTTTGGATTTCCAGACTTCAATGCATTTGGCTCCCCAGGCCTGCAGTCTGCACCACTGTGGTGATTGACATAAAGCTACTTGGGGTCTGCCAAGGTGCATTTCATGGGGCATGAAAATTTTGCCTATTAATAAAAAACCTGTCTGCATCCTCCTGAAAACCATCCTTCTGCAGCACTGTAGGTGTCAGGGATGCAGAGAGAGCCCTCCAGGATGGTCGGTTTTAAGACACTGATTTGTGAGTAGGTGTTGAACCCAAGGGTTGCTGAAGAATCAGAGGCTGAGAGAAGGACTGAAGTAGTATGTGCTGGCTGGTCCTCTCCTATTTCCCTAGTCCCAGGGAAATAAGGGAACATCCCTGGGACCATTTTCCTAGGCCTGGGGAAATAAAGGGAAATGAAAGAGCTCAAGAAGAGGGACTTGAAGGTTGAAAGACAATCCTGAGCTGTTTAAACTACTTCGGTTAGGGCAGGTGACCTGGTTTTGCCTTGGATAATTAATTTTCTTCCTAATAGCTGGTGCAGTGCTAGGTTTTGGCTTTAGTCTGAGAACAACACTGATAACACATCAATTAGTTGTTGCTATGTAATATTTACCTTTATCAAAGACTTTTCAGTCTCATGTTCTGCCAGTGAGGAGGAGCACAAGAAGGCAGGAGGAAGCAGAGACAGGACACCCGCCCCAAACTAGCCAAAGGGGTATTCCATACCACAGCACGTCATGACCAGTATAGAAACTAGGGGCACTTGTCTAGGAGGGGCTAATCACTTCTGGGGTTGGGCTGGCTATCAGTCAGCAGGTGGTGAGCAATTGTGTTGTGCATCACTTGTGTTTATGTATTTTTTTTGTTTTCCATTTTTTTTTGTTTTTGTTTTATATCTTGTTATCTCCCTTTTAATTATTATTATATTACACTTTATTTTAATTATTCTTCTCTCAACCCACATGTTCTCCATTCTTCTGATTTTCCTTCCCATGCCACCCTGGGTAGGGAAGGGGAGGAGCAAGCAAGCAGTGTGGTACTTAATTGCTGCCTAAGTTTAAACCACAACAGCAGGACAGGATGTGCATTTGGGAGATGCCTCTTCACTGGAGCGTTAACAGAGCAAGGCTGAGCCAAGTTCATCTGTACCCCCCTGCTGGAAGTGGTGACAGTGGCTCACTGAGGGACACTTCCCTTCTGAATCATGGGCGACAGTGTTCCATGCAGGGGCATCCAGAGGCTGTGCAAAGCAGAATCAGTCTGTGCTGCATCCAGGCCCCGGTACATGCAAGAGCAAATGAGACACCTTCCCCTCTCCAAGAAAAAAAAAAACCCACATGGACAAGGACTGAGGCAAGCAAGTGCAATTGCTTTATAAGGCTGTCAGGCCACCAGGGAAATATAGCTCTGGCCTTGACTGCCCTTGACATGAATGCTAAATTGGATTTGGTTACATTCAGGCTTCTTTTTCATCAGAAATTATTTTCTTTGCTTCCACTGAATTTCACCAAAAGCTGATAAAGTTGAGAACTTTTGTTCAAGACCTGGTTGCCGTGACTGTTATTTTCAGTGGTATTATACCAGCATCTACAGGTCTCTTATAACCCATATCCCAAAAAGACCAAGATCTTGAGAGACAAGACAATGTGGACAGAGGGAGGAGAAATGATTGGGTGCAACATCTCCAAAGGGTCAGCAGCATAGCTGCCTTAACACCCATCTCAGTACCACATCTGCCATTCTTGGCCTCCATTGTTAACTTTCACAACACTGGTGTTTTCAAGCTAAACCCTGTTTTTCTTGGTCCCACTGACCTTTGGGCCTTAAGGAACATCAACTCCCTTAATCTGTTAGTAGAAATAGCCACAGAAGCGGTGCAAGTTGGCTGTGCAGAAGCACACCTGTACAGCACCAGGCAGAGATACCAGTCTACCAAATAAACCCAATCTGGAACTCTGGCACATACCAGAGACATCTCAGCATGTGCCTTTGCCTCTGGCAACTATCATTTGCAGACCCCATGGAAGAATAGGCAATGCAGAAGTATCAAAACTGCTAAAAGCTAAACTTTTGCCTGCATCTATACCCACCACAGCTGCCTCACAATTAGTGCATGAAGTACCTCTATTAGTGCTCTTAGATTTTTACTTCACAGTGGCACATTCCTTGTAAAAAGAGCTGATGATCAGCATGGACCTTTGCGGCGACCAGTGACGGCCTTTCTTGGCCAAGCCTACCAAAGGTGATACTCCCTTTCTCCAGATAGAAAGTGAGAGGGCTCAGCAGCAAGGCAAGGCAAATGATATCCAGATTCTTCTTTTTGCACTGGGATATGGGTGTTATTACTAATACGAGGACAGAAATCAGACACCTAGAAAGTCTAAGAGGCAATGCACAGTTTCTATTGAAGAGAAGAATCAGAGGAAGAGCAAAAAAAGGGAACTGGACAACCCCATAAGGTGGAGAGGGGACTGCATCCCTCCAGATGCACTCAGCACCACCAGGCTCCCTGTGCAGCACTTGGGACCTGTTGATCCATACAGCCCTGCTGCCACAGTGCAGAGTTTACTAAGCCTAGAAGAGGAGCAGCCATTCACCTCTGATTTCAGGAATCAAGGCAACAGGGCAACTTCCCTACATCGGCAAATGCGACCTTTATTAAAACTGCTGGAGCTACACCCGTTAATGCTGGTAGAGAGTTTAGTGCAACAGTGTCTGCTGTTTGGTGACCAAGCCAAGCAGAGCTCTGCACCTCTGGAAGATCATGGCTTCCAGGGCAGCTGCCTCAGGAACCTTGTCCAAAGCAGAATTTCAAGGGTACAATTCAAAGAATTGATGAGTGACTGGTGGAAGACAGATGAAGAAAGCAGAAACAAACAAGAGTGCCAGCTGGAGAGCTGCAGGATGGGACAATGGGATGACTACGAACATATGAGTTATGAGGAGAGAGACTGATAGACACTTAGGAAAGGAGGAGCAAAGGGTCAGTATGAAAGGGCATACAGTGATCAGAGGGGAAACACAATTAGTACTATTCAAAAGTACTTTTTTAAAATGGAACTATTAAAGTGGCATTCAACCATGGCTAATGAAAGCAGGAAAGGCATTAGATGAATTCCCCCCTCCAGTTCATGGAGAATGGCCACAGGGCACCATTCTCTGCTTAAGGATATGAACCTACATGGTTTTGAGAGTTAGCTGGAGACCTCTGTGGTTTGCTTTCTTCCATCACAAAGGAAAGCTTGAAGGGCTACAGGGGGAGACAGTGCAAAGCCAAGGGAACCCTCACAGCTTTTTGCCTACCTTCTGCAACAGGAGAGAGCCTGAATACTTAGTCACGATGGAGTACAGCTCCCCACCGAAGGCATCTGCCCAAGACTTCACCCTAAAAAGAGAAAAAAGGGAAAACCAGTGTTAATAAAATTCAGCAAAACTGCTTGCTTTTTCAGACAGGGAAAACTCAATTTTCCCAAGTATGAATCCCCCCCCCTTATTTCTCTAAGCCACTACAGTGACAACAACAAAGCTTTCTCCTTATATTCCTAGCCAGACAAGCGGTATGGCAGGCAGCAAGCACTGCTTTTGGACATTCTGCCTGGGACATTGGTCAATGAGGAGAAACACCAAGTTCTGCTGATCTCGGTCACTATTTTAGCTAAGTCAAATAATAGTCACCAAATTTTGACTTAGTGAATTTGTCTCACATAACTTTAGAAGTACAAAAGTTCTACATTTGGTCTTCAATATCAGCTGGTTTCCTCTGTTGTTAGCAAGGTGAAATAAGCAGCTCTCTGCAGACACCTATTTGTCTTCACTGATTGCAGACAGAGCCTGGGGTGAAGGGCTAGACACCTAATGTCAAGGCTGCTGAAGAGAAATAAGTGCCAGATCTGAAAGAAGTTGTCAAGATTCACCCCTTGGATTCAGTTCCTAGAGCTGTGTGGTACAGAGACTAACAAGCCAGACTAATTCACTGCTCTCAGTGGAGATACTACAGATTGATAACGCCAAAGTAGATTACACACCTCATCACTGTAAACCACTACTTGCATTTGTGCCATCCTGTAAATAATTGATAACAGCAATACCACATGGAGAACATAAGGATGTCGAAGAGCAGCCTGAACACCAAGCCATCCAAATCAAAATAGATGGCTCTCATTATTGACAGAGCACTTCATCAGAAATCTGTTACATGATTCGCATTAAGCAGTTCCACATACATGCAGTTCCTTCAACAAGGATTCACTTAGGAGAGATTTGTTTAATGGAATAAATAGCTGCCTCCGCTTACCAGAACACCCTACTTTTTTATGGGTTGCAGAGTCTTACCTACAGCTTCCATAAGGTTTCTTCCAGTCCTAAGCAGACTTTAACATCAGGGTCTAATTTCTCAGTGCATTGTACCACTTCCATAGCAGAATAAACCACCAACGTAGAGATGAACTCTGGAGTAAAGCCAGCACAGCAGTGGTGGAACAATCACAACAGCTAACTTCAGCCCAGGAAAGCCTGTTGAAACTCCCCTCTTGCAAACAGAGAGAGTGGCAGGCAGCTATAGGGATGATTCAAAGCATACTTAAAGCTTCTGCCCTGAACTGCACCTCTCTCTGCTGCCTATAAAAGGAGTATAATGAGAGGGTGAGTATCTTTCTTAATCACTCCTTAATTAGCAATGAGGTGTTCCTTTTTAACCACTGAGCATGATCTAGCAGCAGCTGAAGTCAATAAGAACAAGGCTTCTTCATCTCCCCCCCCCCTTTTTTTTTTTTGTCATTGTACTCTGCGTCTTATTTGGACAGCCAGAGCTTTTATCTCTTCATTTCATTCTTAAATACAAAAGAATATGGGTATTTGCTAGGAAAGCAGGATTTATTGGCCCATATCAGAGTTATTCTAACAAGCCTAGAATGAAAGAGGAAACTATAACAGGGACCTTATGGGATACTTTCCTGCTTGTTGTAGTAACTAACAGATTCCCTGAGGTATAAGGATCTCTGAATAACCATTTAACTCAATGCCCATCTGCTGCTGGTGGTTTTATAGCCTTTATGTACGAGATGTGCTGATTTTGACTAATATTCTTCAGTCTCCTCACCTTTTATCGTAGAAGAAGAGAACCTAGACATGAAGCATGGGATAGTAATTTTAGCAGGGAGGTTTGTCTTTACCCTATTTTCCTCCCCCAGAAATCAGGTGCATGTGATCCTGGCCTTTCTGGTTTGTGTCATGTCTGTGGCCATGCATGTGCCCCTGTTCCTTCTGACTTCCATAATTTTTCAACCCATTGGGGTGGAAGAGTCTGTGAGATATATATGTATATGTAAATAGCAGAAAGATGCCATTGCTGAGGTAAGAGGCCCACAATGTGAGCTTAGCAACAGTCAGTAGAGAAGCCAGCCACACACAGAGTTTCATAGAAGATTCCAGCCCTGCTGCTCATGGATCTGCTCATTTGTGCAGTCCTTAAGTCCATCATGACTTGGGGTTCTCTGCTTTCATAAAAATAGGATGAGGGAAGGTTGTTTTCTAGCCCTTGAGAGCATTTCTAGCGGAGAGAGGGCCAGAGACCAGCAGCTTTGGAGGGCTGGTTGGAAAGTTAAGTATCACAGAGGAATGGGAGGGCACAAAGGTCCTAGAGCCCTCTGTGACAAGGCTGAAGAGTGGGTAATTAAAATATATATAGTGGCATTTTACACAAGTTGAAAAGGAGGCAAATGCAGAGGTGGAAATATGCTGGCATTTACACATTTAAAAGACAGTTATTTGCCAGGGAAGGGAGCAACCTTAAAGTACTGGAAAATTAAGGGCTGCCTGCTGAATTTAAATAGGTTTCCTTATCTTTTTCATAAACAAGTTAGAGGAAAGGTCAGTCTAAAATTCATCAGGTTGCATAGAAATTTTGTCTTAGGCTTCTAGCTCTGTGAACTCAGGAGGAGGTGTATAGAGGTGGCAGGGGCAATGTAAAGAGGCCATACCAGACTGATCTTCACCTCTCCCACCAGCATTTCCTGATGTCTATTGGTACCCTAAGAAGCAAAGACTGAGCAGAGAGCCGCAAATCCTCACCGTCCTCACAGCTGTGAGCACTCCTCCACATGCCATGGCTAGCTCTTGAGCAGAGCAGTGGCCAGGAGGAAAGAGGAGGTGGTTTCTGTGCTGAACTTACACCCCAGAAGCATTGCTAGTAATTGACTGAGCAGATTTTTGCACCCTGGCTTTAAATCTGAGTGTGCTTTGCAAAGATGTGAATAAGTTGACGATGAACAGAACATAGTGCAACAAAGCCACACATGACTTGGGGAGCAGCATAGGCTGACTTAGCCTTATGTCACTAAGCTGTGATTGAACCCAGATGCTGTTTAAAAGTCCTTGGGTTTGTGTCCCCAAAATGTCCCTGTGTAATCTATGGAGCAGGTCCATTTTCTGCTGATTTACTCCCTTTGGTCCTCTGGCCAATGTGTTCTTCTACAGAAATTTAATTTGAAAAGAGCAGCTTCTGTGTTTTAGTTGAATTCAGGAGTGGATTTCAAACACCAGGGATAAATTCAGCTGTTGGTCTGATTTCAGTACCACGGGAGAAAAGCTCTTTTTCTATTGTTTACTCTTCATTCTTGTACATGAATACGTTCCAAATTCTGCAAAGTAATGTAACTCTTTTCTCAGTAGTAAAGGGCTATCACAGTATAACCAAGCACATCAGAAAAGGATTTGGTCAGAGATTGCCTGCCTGTAATACCTGCACTTGTATTCAGCAGCAAAAACAGCAGAAAGGATGTCTGGCTTCTTAATGCCGCAGATTTCAAGGCCAAAAGGTATTTCCATGCAGTATTTACCCAGGGCGTGGAAAGCTGGTTTTTATTTTGAATGGTTTAGAACTATTAGAACTTGGATTTTATTCTATGTAACCTCTATGTCATTTTTGTGAGACCCAAGTCAGAAGCACTTTGCTGAGGAAGGGCTTGAAAGTGCGGCCAAGAATAAAATTGGCGGCAAAGTTTCCTGAGACCCTGACTGGATAAAGTCAGAGCAACTCTTGGTAATAGCCTGGGCTGTGTTGGTGAGCACATCTGCAAAGGATCTTACAGGCAATTTTCGATTATATAATATTTTCCTCAATCTCAGGAAAGGGCTTGAGCTGACTTTGGTTGGTTTATCAGACATATCTCCTCCTGAAACTGAATGTCAGTGTTGTCTCCGCTCCAGACCAACCTGCTGTCCTGCGCAGACAGACTTATCCCAACTCCAGAGAAGCTGCCCCCCAACAACTTTTACCAGCCGTGGTGCTGACATTTTTAACCCTTAAAGGATTTAACTTGCGTGAATCAGCTTACAAGGTGAAGTTTTCATACACTGGGTTTGCTGAGAGCTGTTAGCCTCCTGGGGGGCTGCCAGGGCAGGCTGTGCTGCTGGTGGGGAGCTTTCCAGCATAACCATTTCAGAGGAGCAACTTGTGCACTTCAACACATATGCAGGCATGGGTGTACTGCAAAACCACACCCAAAAAGGTGCATCCAGATTCCCTGCGTGTGCACTAGCACCCGAACACAAAGGCAGCATGTGCCCCATCCGTGTCAGTGTTCAAAGCCAGGCTGCATGGGGCTTTGAGCAACCCGGTCTATAGTGGAAGGTGTCCCTGCCCATGGAAGGGGGTTGGAACTAGATGATCTATAAGGTTCCTTCCAACCCAAACCATGCTGTGATTCTGTGCACAAAACATGGCTGTTTATGCTTTGTATTGCAGCTCAGCTTCTCATTCTTAAGCTCCAGAGATCTCGGCAGGGCTACTGTGCCCTTTGTAATACGGTGCAGTAGGTGTAAGCAAGAAAAGGTGCTATGGCCTCTTTCCTCTGTTTAGCCTCCATGACCCTAACATTGCGTGACATCTGCCCATGTGAATAAACACGTGTGTGAATTAGCCAGGCTGCATATGTGCGCACAAAGGCTTTTTTTCAGCCATCAGTGTAGCAGACCAACACAAGGGGTCACAGCTGCAAAGCTTGTACTGCACAATCCATATCTCGTGTGTCAGAGAGACGTGTCTTAACTCAAACACCCCATGTGCTTACATCTGCCTCCATGGCTGAATCTCCCCAAGCTGCACTCATGGTGGGGTTTTAGGAACATGTCTTTAAACTGGTTTTGCCTTCTGCCACCCAGGGCATTAAGCAGCACATTAATAGATGTCAAAGTGCTGAACTAAAGCAGACGAGTATCATTACTTTGCTTGGTGAACAGGGAAAATGAGGCATCGCATCCATGCTAGACCTGGGAATGGAATTTGTGGCTCCCATGCCCATGTCCTCTCCCAGAAGCCATTGCCACCATTGGAAGGAAACACAACTTCCCCTGCAGTGATGTGCTCATGCAGAGGAACCTGCACCCTCAGTCCCTGCCACTGCCGGGGAGGCACTCCCACCCTCCTGCCCATGCCCACAGCATTGCCCACTCCACACCAGAAATGCGACACAACAGAGAGAAGGAAACACTTACGTGTCCAGTGGGATCTTCGTCTGGGCCCTGGCAGAGGGCAGGAGGCAGAAGAGCCAGAGTGTCATCCACAGGACGGCCCAGGGCCCCATCCTCCATGTGCCAACCATCAGCAAGAGGACCAGCCGGTGGGATGCGGAGGTTCATTGTCCTTCCTGCTGCCCCGAGGGGGGTCTCCTGTGGCCCCTGCCATGCTGCCACACTGGGTGTCCTCACGCTGTGGGGCCAAGCCCCGGGGTGACCCTGGCTGCCTTTGTCCTGGGAATGTGACTCCTGCTACCGGGTGCTGTCAGGGGTCTCTGATGCACAGCAGGCAGCTAAAAGCCTGTGGGAACCCTCGTCGGTGGGCACCCATGGGTGCGGTGCATCTCTGTGCCCCGAGGAGCAGCCGCGTCGGGAGGGAGATCCGTGCTGCGAGCCACGGTAGCTACGTAATCCCCCACCAGCCCCTTAATCCCCTCGCCAAGCAGCAGCAGCCACAGATTTAGAGAAGTGGAGTGGGATAAAATCACACGGGATTACTCTGATTCCTGACCCTCGTCGGTGGGCACCCATGGGTGCGGTGCATCTCTGTGCCCCGAGGAGCAGCCGCGTCGGGAGGGAGATCCGTGCTGCGAGCCACGGTAGCTACGTAATCCCCCACCAGCCCCTTAATCCCCTCGCCAAGCAGCAGCAGCCACAGATTTAGAGAAGTGGAGTGGGATAAAATCACACGGGATTACTCTGATTCCTGAAGACGGGTCTCGGCTTCTCCAGCCGGAGGTCAGCCTGTGCCTGCTTTAACGGGGTCGTACCCACACCCCCCTAAAAAACCCCTGACCTTTGATCTCTGTCCAGCAAGGCCTCTTTGTCACACTGCAGGATGCTGATGTGTTGTCCAGCAGGTCACCCCAGCACCATCTCCTCTGCATCAGGGACCTGGAGTTGGGACCAGGAATGTGGGCTAAGTGGCAGGCTCCTGCAGACACCAGTCGGTTCATGCTGTGTTGCTGCTTGGTGCTGAGGCTTGCAGAGGACTGGTTTGCACAGGACCAGCTTGCATAGGAGAGGAAAAGAGAGGAGAGGAGAAAGAAAAGAGAAGAGGAGAGAGAAAAGAGAGGAAATTGCACAGCAAAAAGCAAAAACGACATGAAAAAGGACTCTTGCTGCTTTTAACTGATTGTCTCTCTATGTTAGAAATTACTTATTAATAGTTGAACCAGTCAGTTTGGGCAACATTCAGTTGAGATTGCCATCCCCTCGTCTGTCTGGAGACCAATGAATCAAAGGAGCCCAATGGCTGAGGTTGATGAAGAGCAGCAAGCAGCAAACTGCACGCTCGGATGAGGGGCATGCTGTATAAGCTCATTATAGTTCCGAGAAGTATGAATTACAAATAACTATAGATACAGCAGCAGAAAGATTATACCTGTTGAAAGATATTAGATATACCAGCAGAAAGATATTACCTGTTGAACACCTTGACTCTATGGCTATGAATTAACCTGGTTATTAAAGTATCTTCCAATCATCTTCTGCAAATTTACAGATGGCATATTTAATACAAAATGCAAAGCCATGCTAGGTCATTAGGTTTCTCATAAGAATGTAGAGGGGGAAACTGGCTGTCAAAGCACTAGAAGAAAACTAAGGCACATATTATAGATGTGCTGCTGAGTGCAGCATTGGTGCCACATATTAAATGGGATAATAGAAGTTGCAGAGGAAATACAGAGAAGGGAATAAAACTGTGAAATGTGTAATACAGGTTAAATTGTATGATGAAGAGGCTGAACGCCTGGGGTGAGCAATTAAGTAATTACAGGAATAATTCACCTTGGGATTGGGCGGTTTAGTCATTTATTACAATCTTAAACTTCAGATTGAGTATCTTTTTGAAAGTTAAGATCTTCTTAAAGCAGATGCTGTGAGCAGAAATTTCCAGGTTATGTTCTTAGGTCTGTGCAAAGGGTTACATGGGAAGGTTGAAATGGTTCTTTCTCACCTTAAAATCTATAAAAAATCAATTTCTACACACACAAATGCTGTAGAGACAGTGCCTTCAGGGTACCACATAGCTGTGCAGTGAACACCATCGTCAGCATATGAAGGCAACAGGCAGAGCAGATTTAGACCTTAGTAATGCATTTCTCAGATGACAAAAATGTGCTATGGGAGATCTTGTCCCAGGAAGGGGCACATACACACCCAGACGGCCCCAGGGGGAATCTGGAGGTCAGGATGCTGCAGAGAAATGTCTTCCTTCCAGAAATGCTCACTGCAGACACGGGGTGCAATGTGTTGTCCATAGGAACGGAAGGAGCTGATTGCCCTTCCCCTGATGCTGGCCTCATGCTACTGGGACCGTGGCCCACAGGCCTGGGCTTTTGCTGCCTCCTCCCTCCTCTGCAGCCTGAAAAGAATAGATTGTTCTTAGAGGAGCTGGGAAGAATGACCATCAAGGTCTTATTTCTCTGTGTTTATCTGGATTAAAAGTGCGGGGTAGCATCCAAGGTGGCAGGCTTCCCTGTCTGGAAGCTTCAAGGAAGAGAGGATAAAAATTCATGTTCTGAAACAATCTGAAATGAGATCTGAAGGCAGGAGAATTAACATTTTAGATAGCATTTTCTCTGAATTTTGCAAGGAGCCATATCAAATAGTTGTTGCAAGTGATTTTTGCAGGATCTTTTCACTAACCTTTCCAGCCACTGTGTCCTATTTGCAGCTGGGACCCGGTTTAATCCAGACGGGTTCTGGCAAGAGCCCCTGTCTGGTTGTGTTTGGAAACCCCTGAAACACTGATAGAAAAGGCAATAACAACATGCTGAACTGGGAGATCCAAATCCCTTTATTTGGATTTATCCCATTTACTGGATATATCTCACTTAACCCCTTAATGATCTGAAGTGGCAAGGGAGTAAGATTTGAAGGTGAAATAAAAATTGCACAGAAAACTGAAAAGGCCCAGGTGACTAGAGGGCCCTTAATGGGATTAGTGTGCATCCAGTTGCTTATGCAGAGTTCATCGACCACAGAGGGTGAGCACAGCTGGAGCACAGGGAGGAGATAAATGACAGCAGGGTCTGAGTTAGGAGAAAGAAAATTAATCCTGTGAGAAAGAATGAAAGCAAACACATAACAAGGAGTGAGAGTTCAAGGCTGCAAGAGATATGGGGTGAATGATTACAGCAAATTAGAGTTAAATTTGCAAAACCATAGGGCAATAAAAAAAAGGCCAGTATGATTTTGTTCTGTATTCACAGGCAGGGGGAAGATTTACCAGCTCTATTTATTTCTGGTTTGACTAGAACCTGAGTTCAGTTTGGATTATCTTTTCAGGAGAAGATACTGGCAAATGTCAGGACCAGCTAAAGAACAAATACCATCAAAACACTGGTATAAACAGTGTTTATTGAACAATACAAATCCTTATTTGTTTAATGCATTCATGTGGTGACCCTCACCTGGAAATGCCTCAGCAGGCTGAAGTGTAGTCTTACAGTGGGTTAAATATAAGGAGAATGGGGCAAAATGAAGACAAGGGAACGCTACACTGAGCATCAGAGAAAGCTGATTAGAAAGATGTGCAGGGCATGGTACAACCTCTTGAGGTAACTTCTCTCCATGCAATACTGGTCAATAAGGCATTCTGTAGTGTCTCTGTTAGAAAGCTGGCTAGAACAGGGTGACAACCTTGAACACAGCAAAGAGTATGCAGCTTTGTGGAGATGAGAGCAGATGGGACTGTGTCTCAGCCTCCTCAGGCATCAGGCTCATCATAATATTACTCCTGCTGCCAGGTGGTTGATGGGGCTGAAGCTGGTCATAGAGACACTTCTCTGTAGCACCCACAGTAATGATGTCCCAGTTGGCCCATGCAGTGAGGCAGGGGTGCTCCCTCTTATTTTCTGGATACTTTGGTGCAGTGTCTCTGGGCCCGCATGGAGTGAGCCTCAGGTCCTTTTTGCACTGTAGATATCAGGACTGGGGAAGAGGTTGCAAGAGATCAGCACTGGCTTGTTTTTCATTCTGGAGATGCTGGGATCTTGCTGTGTGCCTGCCACCACCGCATACCTCAAAGCAAGTCTTTGTTCCATCATGATCCTGAACTTAAAACGTCTGGGATGTAATCACTTAATAAGGATAATTTGCCTTGATTTTGAATATCTTAAAACAAGGCATGATGGGAACAAAGGGTCTTGTTCACAGCCGATGCATTTATCTGAGATCATAATCTTGTGCCTCTCGTTATCTCTTGTCAAGACTCCTTCAATGAGTATCTGGGTATACAAGCTCCTTTCTGTTCTGGTCAAGCATCCTGCTTGTGAAACTGCTTTCTCAACAGTGTTTGAGCTTGTGTCCTGTTCAGGAGATAGGAGTACAATGTCTGTGGCCTGTCTGAGTAGGTTTAACTGTTCCTCAGGCTGGTTTGGAAAGCAGTCAGGCAGTGTTCTGCCAGTATTAGAGAATGCCATCCCCCTGTCCCAGCAGCTGCCAGGATGAGGGAGCCCTTGCCAGAAGAGACAATGCAAAACCACTTTTAGTCATGGTTTTACTGACTGGTCACGCAAATCTCTTCTGAATAGGTTTTAGTGCTGTGGAGAGTTAGTAGTCGCAAGCTGAGTTTGCAGAGGTGTGGATACCCCCCTCATTTCCAGGAGTGTTTTGGATTAAATTAGCTGCTTTTAATATCATCTGGGTGCAGGTGAAATGGTCAATACATCTGGGTGTGTGGAAGGGTTCTTCTGCCATCAGAGACCAGGCTGCTGAGTGCCAGTGGCTCCAAGGAGACCCTGATGTGACTCCACAGAGGAGACACACAAAAGCATGTTTACCATGGGAATGCAGCTGAATACCTGATGCCCCACTAGGGTCTCTGTAGAGCAGGACACATTCATCCCTAGTGTAACACAGGGGGGGATATACAGGGGAATAGTGACACGTAGGCAGGGACTATACCACTGACTTTCTTCATGTCAGGTTGCCTCAGAGCCAGTGAATAATGGATGTCACCATCAGACATCAGCAGGATGTCTGGAACTAACCGTGTCCTCCTAGACCCCACATTCCACCCAAGTGGTCTGTAAATACCTGCTTGCAGACCCATTCCCCT